TAAATATGAGGGTTGTTTGGCTAACTCAAGCCATCCTATGAGAAATCTGTCTATCATCCCATCCAGATAGGAATAACTGTATATTGTGGATATTTTCACAATTCTTCTCATTTCTTTTGACCTTTGCTGGATAACGCAGCTAAAGCTAATTTCACATTGTGCATAAATCTGCCTTATGCCCAGCTTCATTATGGATTTAGACATTTTTTGCCAGCTTTCTGGTTAAAATAACAGTTGGTGGTTCATGCTCTGCCTGCTGGCATCCCATCTGACGAAAAAAAAAAAGACAAAAAAGAAAATGGCCCCTACAGCGAAAGGAGATATATGTATAAACATAAATAAAAAATATAACATATTGATACAAATCAGCATATTATAATGATTTCTGAAAGACCATGTTACACTGAAGACTTTATTTTTTTGACCATATTTTGATAAATCCATTCAGCCTTGATTCGCATAAGAGAATTCAAACTTAACCATAACATTTTTTTTTTCTAATGGGTTTCATCGAGAAAACATCTACAGGACACGTGGCAACACCCTCATCCAAACAATAGATACCCGCCGTATGGCTGGGTGATATAGACACACAAAAAAAAAAAAGAAATTCTCATATCATACAATATCGATATTTATCTCGATACTCATTTACCTACAATTAATAGGGAAGGAAATGATTTCCACATGTTTGTTGGACCTTGAAAATGAATGTAAACTTATTTGTTCACAATCAAACAGAGCAACTCTCATTTTCTCACCTAAATGTTCTTGTTTAAATGCTTTTTTTATTTTTTGGTAAATAACCAGCAAATGAAATCACAGATGTTAAAATTGTGTTTTTCTAACCCTGTCCAAACAGCACTAAAGACAGGCAAAGATTAATTCAGTGTACAAAAAAAATTCCAGTCAGGTACAAATCGCAACTGCAGGACTGGTAAAAACCAACAAAGCAGCACATGTAAACAAGGGGAATAGAGGATAGGCTGCTCGAACATGGCACACAGACAGGCATAACAAGAGACGGCGGTAGCAGATCTCAGTCCCCCCAGGTAAGAGACGGATCAGTCAGAGAGCTTGCGTTTGGCTTCAGAGCTCATGGCCAGGATGAGCTCTTTGGGTCATGAGTGAAAGCAGATGGGCAGCTAGTTCAATAAGCAGGATTCATCACTCATATATAACCGTGACCAAGACTTTTTTGGAATTTAGGCATGGAACATTTGCGTAAAGCTTATGGAATGATGCAGCAACCAACTTAAAGAGCCTCTATCATGGATTTTTGAAAATGACTGTTCATATGGTGTGGAATATAGCTCTAAGGGAATGAAAACACCCTGCAAAGATTTATATCTGAAAGTGCACCATATATAAAGTTATTGTCTTTCAAAAGTGAGAGTCGACTGTCTATGAAATGAATTGTTTTTGAAACGAGTCATTAGCTGTTACATCGTGACGTATAGATATTGGCCGCGCCCAGTTACTGCGTGCGCAGACGGAAGTGTAAACTTGAAGTCTACACATTTAGATACTTCAGATTAAATTCCCCCTTTAATCATTAAAATGTCTAGGTTGGATGTAAAGTTAATCTTAATTTGATGAGACAACAAATTAATATTTTAGTAATAATGACTAATTTAACAAATGTGCATTTCGCTGATGTCCAACATCACACTTATCTATACTGGAGATTTTTTTCACTCCCCCATTCCATTACACATGCATCTTTCATTAGTTGAAGGGCTAATGCTAATTATTTGGACATCTAGACAACACCTCATGACTGTAGTGTCAAACAGCTGTTGTAATGTGTGCGAATGTAAGCTAAATGGAAGGGTCATGATAATAACAGCACAGAGAACCTGAACATGCCTCTATGCAAGCATAAATGCCCATTTATTACCATCACGCTTGTCTGATGGGAAAAATGGAGCATGGAATGTGACTGTGCCATCTGAGCACTTACTAAACATGATAAATAAATGCAACTAAGTCTATAATGCATAGAAGATGCAGAGAAGACACCAAGCTAAACATGTACTTTCATTATATGTCAAAATGTCATTACTCATTATCACATTAAACAGCATAGCTATGACAGCTGAAAAACGTGGTTGATCGTGGTCACGTCACGGCAGACAGGATCCCAAGTCTAGCCTATTAGACTACAGTTGAGGTAATGCTCAGAATAGAAAGATAAAACTATGTTTAGGATGTTTAGAAATGTTTTGTTGTATTCATCTCAAATTGTATTATTAAATAAAAATAAAAACAATTATATTTATATTAACAATAATATTTATACAATTTAACAATAAACAAATAATAATAACAATAAAAATACACAACATTCTGCCCTCCTTATGCCTGTACCAATTCCGAAGAGAAGTAATTGTTTCACGATATGGCAATTGGACGTGATATACCGTCATAACCCTACAACCCTACTAGTATTAAGATGAGTTCGGATGAATCGACATGGAAACATATGGAAAGTTAGCAGTGAGTGACCATGAGTGCATGTTAGAAATCAATGCTGAGACAACATGGTTGCTTGGTTTGTTTTTTGTCTTTAAACCAAACTTTGGTCTTCTTCAGCTGACAATGTTTTTCTTGTCTGGCTAGCGTGCTTTCCATAATGTTTACATATTATAGAGTAGGTGGTATTTTTATGGCCGTTCGAAGTCGAACACATCCAACCACGGGCGTCTACACTTTGATAGCAATCCGGTCAAATGTGGAGAAGCTCAAAGTGTTTTAGACCCTGTTTAACCTACATTTAGTGTAGCTAGAGCACTCATGATCTGACAACCAAAACATCCAATTAATCTTAATACCAGGTGTAAACAGGGCCTCTGTCTCTCAATGGAAAATTCACATGCATCTAACTGCACTTCAACTCTAGCTTTGGGACGACAGTGCCAAAAAATATATATAAATAATATGCATTAACATTAACATTTCATCAGCTCAAAAGGTTTATTTTCTAGTGTACTTAAGAGGCTCTGTTCAATCCAGCCGGTAAAATTTCGAGACTGTCCTCAGTCACACTAATGCCTGGCTGAGACAGAGTTTACATTTGCCACATGAAATGTGCCACACATTTCCAAAAATGAAAGCTTGAGTGACCATAAAATAAACAACACCCAAGCTGCATTTAATTCAAATGTTCCTATCACTGAGGATCGTATTGCAAGTGTGAGGGAAAACTGCTATGATATTAAAGCACGAGATGCACAGAAAATAAGCTTTGACATTTTGATAACTCATCTTATACTGCAGAGGGTAAGCCAACTGACTTTCAAACAACATTAGATAGTTAGAACTTCATTTTCAAAAGATAAATGCAATCTTTTTTGGAAGTTGCATGCAAACCTCAGACAGGATAAACCTAGACAAGATATTAAACCCAGCAAGCGGCACATCAGTAAGCCATGGCTTGGATCTTAAGACAGAGTACAAGCAGCAGCTCAATGGTGAAAGCAGAAACAACACAGAGGCCCATGTAACAACAAAGAAGCAGAAAGCGCTTTCTTTCACCGAAGTTCACTTAAACTCTCATTGAATAGTAGTCCACGCAGCTGAAGGAAGAAACAGAGAGCCGAAACCACTGACTGTGTGGCTACAACCATCTCAGGCAGAAAAGAAAAGCCTTTAATAATTGTGGAAGTATTGCTAGGGGGGAAAGGAGACAATAAATACATAAATTGCAAAATGCGATTTTCATAGAAAACAGTGAAGGGAGTGTCTGTTTTTGTGTAGGAGTAGGCTACTGGGGTTCTTTGCCTTGTGGTTAATAACATACGCTTTTCCGAAATGATCTTGGAAAGTTTTTGAATTTCAAACCTAATAAAAAAAATTAAAAAAAACATTCCCAAAGATCTCTGACTTTAAATCACTGTTTGCTGCTATGGATTGCGGTATGAAAAAGCTTTCAGAGATCACATGGCCATTAACGAAAGCACAGACAATCTGTGAATAGTCTGTTCGCACAGATCACACCTACATGTGTGCTTAGCATTAATAATGCACTTAAAGCTGTTTCCTCTTGCCATGTAATAGTGATACGAGCTTTCCATTTACAAAGTGCATATAGTAAGATTGAAGGGTTAGTTCAGCCAAAAATGGAAATTCTGTCATTAATTATTCACCCTCTTGTCGTTCCAAACCCATAAGACTTTCGCTCATCTTCGGAGCACCAATGAAGATATTTTTGACGGGATATTTCCATCCTTCCATAGACAGCTAAGCAACTACCACTTTGACGACTCAACAAGTTAATCCATATGAATTGAGCAGTTTAGTCAAAATTTTCTTGAGACTCGTTGCTTTTTATGATAAATAAACAGATTGAATTTAGGCACTTTTTTCACATAAATATTAATTAATTCACATATCCGTTATGGTAAACGGAAGCAAGGATGTTTGCTTTACGTGCGAAAACCAAAGAGGTTCATTCTTGTGTTAAGCACGTTTGAGCTTCAGCAAGAACCAATGAGGTTCGCTCTCGCACAACAAGCAGGTTCAGTTGAGCTTCTGTTTATGTTTGCTGATCAATGTTAAATCTGTTAATCATAAAGAGATCGAGACTCTTCCAAAACTTTGGACTAAAATGCTTAATTCATATGGATCTTTATAAACTTTTTAAAGTGTCAATGTGTCAGTTGCACATCTGTCTATGGAGAAAAGAAAAAGCTTTCAGATTCCATTAAAAATATCTTAACTTGTTTTCCGAAGACTTCAGAGTTTGGAACAACATGAGGCTGTGTTATTAATGGCATAATTTTCATTTTTGGATGAACCATCCCTTTAATTACATTAAAAGGAAGCAACAAAGTCTCAAAGAATCCTTTTTGCTTTCATAATTTTGCATTGACTTTTTTTGCTGCTGCATAAATGAGTAGAAGTGGTTCAGTTTTCCAAACAAAGCATCACAGTGAAGATGTTACACCACCTATACACAGAGACACAAAAACATATGGCGAATGTTGAGGAGATCTCACCTGTGCCGATGCTCGTCGTGAGCTCCCACGCCATGTATGACCTGTCTACCGCTGTGCCTGGCCTCCTTCTCTGACTCGATGTGCGGTATCAACACGTCCTCCAAGCCAAAGTCAAAGCGCTTGTGTTTGGAATTGTCCGGAAGGAAGAAAAACGCTCCGAAGCACAGGGTGATGAAGGCACTGAGGATGAGGAGGAGGATGAACTTCTCGGAGAGCCGTAAGGTGGCTCTGTGATGGGGGAATGAGGAGGCACCTGGCGAGAGGGTAGGTATCCTACGTCCCGAGAGTGGCAATAGAGCCGGCGTGGTCATATTTTGATGATGAACTGGAATATGGTGGGATAAGTGTCAAGGTTGTTTTTGTGTAAGCCACAGTATTATCTCATTGCGGTAAAAGAGAGTTGTACTGCCAAATGTCTTCTTATCATAGAAATTGAGTTGTCCTGTAGATCACAACTGATTCCACTTGTTCTGAAAACAAACACATTTTCAGATACTGACTGTCATAAGACATTCAACAAAAGCTTCCCATTAAAAATGATCTTCAGTTTCCATGGCAATTATGTTAAGCAGCAGAAAGGACATGAGTCTAAATTTTATTAAATAACAGGTAGCTCCAGGAATCTAATTTGATTCCTCTTTTCTAGACTAGTAGTCAAGTGATTAGAAGTAATTTGGTCTATTATTTGTGCAATATATTTGTGCCCTTAAAGTGTAGTCGGAAATATCGTAATTAAGAGTGAGTATGAATGATTGAGAAAAGTTGCATTTAAAAATGGGAAAACTATTCTAGATGATACACTGTTGTGACATTGAAAGAGGAGTGACGATCTTAAACATGGCAGAGACACTGATGATTTATAATATTATGTAAATTAATCTTAACACAGAGATCTGTGAACAGAGAGCAAGTCAGTAAATGGCATCAAATTACTCAACTTTTATGGTCTGCTTCACATTTAGTTGTGATACCATATATATGTCAGTGACTACTATTTGGGTTTATTCACACTTTTTTTGTTTTGTTTTGGCTGCCATGTTATGTTTCCACCATGAATTAGTGATGTCATAATAACAAAAGGCAGATTTAGAGGTATGAGGGTGCACTTGAGGTTAGCAATAGATAGATTGGTACACTAATACTAGTGTACAGTTTTGACAGCCTTGCTTTACTGACTACATTTGGTTTGAAACTTACTATGACAGTATATGTAGTAAAAAGTATGTGCTTTATATTATGAATATGGGTAACATGAATGAAATTCAGATGTTGTACATCCGCCATTTTATCATGTGACCTACCAACATCAGTTGTGTCACTTCACTGCCATTGACAACACTGCTCTCATGGCCTCATGGGATTGTAAATTGTTCATCAGATGGGAATTTCACAGTTGGTCGTTTGGGTAATTTAATTTACAGATTTATAAATTTGGACATACTACTTATTGCACATACTGTTTTTCCATCAACTATATAGTAGGGAAGTAGACTGATTTAGAAGCAGGGAGAGGCTTTCTGAGCTAGGAAGGGAAATCTGTGTCTCTCCACTCAAATACTCTGATCTAGGCCAGCTTTTAGTCTGTTTTGCTTGGTGACAGGCAAAGCCTGGTGTTTTGGCTAATTTAGGTACCATTTTAGTTGGTGGAAAAGAAATATATCAACTAATCAGTCCAATTTTGTCTGAATGCAAGTCACTTAATTTATTAAATAGCCTATACTCTATACAGAACTCTATAAAATTACAACCAATTTTGCGGTTTTACAGAATAAGAACAATGCTGTAAATCACCTGCAGTACTGTGTAACCCTCTAGCTCGTGACCCATTGCTTAATTATAAGGATTAAACCCCTTTTCCCTACTGATACGCCACCCATTAATTTCATACACAGGCTTTTGGTTCACACTTACAAATGCGACAAAAAATCATCATGAGGACGCAATCATAGGCCTACATCCCAAAAACCACTTTAAATATTGTTTTTTTAGATGGTTTTGTTTTTGGACTATCATGCCCTGACACAGCTTCACATTCATGTCAGACACAGGTAGACTAAAGTCAAACAACCAAAGACGAGTAACCGTTCAAATTAGATCAGTATTATATCAAAACAGCAATCATCGGAATGAACATGCGCCAGATAAATTCGGCACATAGACAGTTACTATGTCTATGTGACAGTTACTCTGTCTATCAGACTTTGAGCATGACAATATAACACCTGTACAAGTGCTTGTGCTTCATTACAGCGCCACATCAAACGTCGCGTGCTCATAACGACTTGACCCAATATCTTGGGTCAAGTCGTATCTTTAACATTGGTGAAACATCTTTACCGTTTTATTCCGATTTCTACAGGTGTATGGATAAATGTGTGCACGTACCGTGAGGGTCTTTTTATCATTCTGATCCATGATCCTCGATCCAAACGCTTCTCGGTGTCGAGGCGGGTTGGGTCAAGTCGTTATCTTCACGATAAACGGTGAGTCCGCCGTCACCGCGCGTAAGGCTTATTTATCTTAAACTAGGAATTCGTCTTTATCTTAAACAAAAAACAACAACAACAACAACAGTTTGATATGACTAAATAGTAACGCAACCTAGGAAAACATAAACAAAACTAACAGACCGGAAGGTGAACACAATGTTACAGCTCTAAGAGCTTTCCTTCTGCGTGTTAACGATAAAAGTTCCCGTCACATCATCATCAAGCGTTCCGTAAATATCGCGGAACGCGCGGACGTTGTTTCAGCACAGGCCTGATTCTGGTTGATGCCGTGGTAGCGTCTCTGAACCGGAGAACGATATCGAGAGCCGATACAATATTGAAAGTAAACCACGGGTGTATCGCAACCGCTGGGGGATCCTCTCTACATAATGCCCTTTTTAATAAAATATCAAGCCGGCCTGCGCTGGACGTGTGCTGCGCCTTTTTCATCCAGTAAAGGCATTCAGCTGGCAGCCGTGTAGAGGACTGATCCCGTCCTGCAGCTGCTGCATCACCTTGTCGGTGCCTCGGGATAAATCGGAGCCATAGACCGTAAATCCCCAACTAATATGCCTAAAAGTTGCCAGGCTCACGTTTATGTCCTTGCTTCTATGCACTGAAACATTGGCAAATGCCACCACCGCCTCTCCTATGTCTTCGTTCCTCCTTATTTCTGTAGCCGTGTGCGCCGCCAGGCTCTAATATCCAGGATGTTGTTACTGCAACAGCTACTCCTCCTCTCAGTCCTCCAACATCCAGTCAGCGGCCGTTTGGTAAAGCCAGGGAGCGTCGCTCAAATACGAGTCTCTCTGAGCAACGCAACATGAAGCGGTATACTGTGGACGGTAGAGGAAATAGAGCATTTATAGGAGTAAGTTTTCACAGTTCCTAAAGTTCATATTTTTTGTCTACTTTATCTTTGTTTTTTCTGTTTCTGTATGCTTGTTTATGTCATGTTCAATTTGCTGTTTATGAAAAATATGCACGACTAGATTTCTGATGAATAGGCTACTGAGATGAATATTAGTTGCATGCATTTTATATTTATTTAAATAATGATAAATAAATGATTAATAATTCTCTATACAAACATTAAAAAATAATAAACACAAATATTTCAAAAATAAAAACAATTTAAAATGATTTGAACTCATTTGATTCAGGTTTAATTTTAGATAATGACCAACTGACTACAACAGCAGAAGACCCCAATGGGTACCACTCATATCCACTACAAATAGGAAAAGGAGGCTACAATTTGCAAGAGCTCTCGAAAATTGGACAATTGAAGTCTGGAAAAAATGTTGCCTGGTCTGATGAGTCTCGAATTCTGTTGAGACATTCAGATGGTGAATTTGGTGTAAACAGAATGAGAACATGGAGCCATCATGCCTTGTTACCACTGTGCAGGCTGGTGGTGGTGGTGTAATGGTGTGGGAGATGTTTTCTTGGCACACTTTAGGCCCCTTAGTGCCGATTGGGGATCGTTTAAATGCCCGAGCATTGTTTCTGACCATGTTCATCCCTTTATGACCACCATGTACCCATCCTCTGATAGCTACTTCCAGCAGGATAATGCACCATGTCACAAAGCTCGAATCCTTTCAAATTGGTTTCTTGAACATGACAATGAGTTCACTGTACTAAAATGGCCCCCACAGTCACCAGATCTCAACCCAATAAAGCATCTTTGGGATGTGGTGGAACGGGAGCTTCATGCCCTGGATGTGCATCCCACAAATCTCCATCAACTACAAAATGCTATCCTATCAATATGGGCCAACATTTCTATGCTTACAGCACTTTGTTGAATTAATGCCACAGAGAATTAAGGCAGTTATGGGTGAAAGGGGGTCAAACATAATATTAGTATGGTGTTCCTCCTTTAGGTGAGTGCACAATCAATGTTAAAATTAGATTACATGATCTTAGAAATGATTTACATATAATCAAATATATAAATTTTAGATTTTTGCAATCTTAAAAATGATTTACATATAATCAAATATATGTTTAGAGGACTTATTTTAGAGGACACAGTCTTTGGGTTGAATATAAAATAGTTTGTGCCCTTATACATCATGGATCCATCAAAGGGCATGTTCACATTCTGCTGAGCAGCAGAGAAATGAGGCCATTTAGATCAGCCTGTGACTTAGTCCTTGGGCTGCCATAAGTGTAGTTCTTTTCTCTTGATTTAAGGATGATACACCAGACTAACTCATAGCAAGTGTCAGTGCCGTTGAAGGCTGTGGAGAGAAAAAAAATCCTGTGTGACTCATAAGAAGGCAGTGGCCAAGGGACTGGATCTGCTGTCAGTCAATTCAAGAGGCCCACATTTGACACCCTGACAGAAGTCACTGTCAGAAAGAAGCAGTTTCGCTCTGCTTTCTCAGTTTTCTGTCAGAATACGACACAGATCACTGGCCAAAAATAAAATCACCACAGACCACAACAAAAAAGACTGGATTAAGAGAAAATAATTCACACTGTGAAAGCAAAAAGGGGACAAAGAGACATGGAAAAGCAGAGGAAACGGATGATTGAAAGGTTTATCTTACTTTAAGAGCAGTAGAGGTGAGACTGAGACCATCCTCCAGTGGGATTGCATAACGAGCCAGGATGTGTTCTGAGACTTTGAAGTGTGGAATGGTGAACGATGACAGTTTAAAATCAGCAAGCAAATTAATGGGATACAGCGTCAACCTTGAGAAGTCCAGGCAAGGGCGAGTTGATTGGCTCTGCAGGAGCCCCAAAGCGGCTGTCGATTGCATATCCTGTCACCAATATATGTAGATAAGGGTGACTATGTCTGACATTCCAGTTAATGAGGTGACACAGCACTGCCCCATAATGCTTAAGAAAATAGTAAGTGAGTGGGGGCAAAAACCATCTACAAAAGTATCCATATCTAGGTTACACTAATAATTAAACAATAGTCTAACTGTTGCACTAAACAATATAATCAAATCCGAGTCATATAAAACCAAATAAAACATTTAGGTTCAGGTGAAATACTGAAATTACAATTAATCAGCATCAAACAATAAAGAACAGTAGCACAATTGTAAAATATTGTTTTTATACAACAGTTCATTAAATAAGAGGTAAAAATGAAAATTCTGTCATTACTCACCCTTATGTCGTTCCAAACCAGTAAGACCATTCATCGATGGGAACACAAATTAAAGGAGTAGTCGAAAAGAAATTAATGTTTTTGTTGAAAACATTCCAGGATTTTCTCCATATGATGGACTTCATTGGTAACCAAACGGTTCAAGGTCCAAATGAGAGTTTCAGTGCTGCTTCAAAGGGCTTTAAACTACACCAGACAATGAATAAGGGTCTTAGATAAGACCCTTTGAGTCATGACTCGAAAAAAGATTTGTTCATTTTGATGAACGAGTTTGAACAAGAGAGTCACGAACGCTCATCACAGAACAGAGCAAGACAAGCATTTGTGCTTATAAAACTTAAACTTTTTAATTTATTTTTTAAATGGCCAATCGTTTCGCTAGATAAGTCCCTTATTCATCGTCTGGTGTCGTTTAAAGCCCTTTGAAGCTGCACTGAAACTCTAATTTGGACCTTGAACCATTTGGTTCCCAATGAAGTCCATTATGTGGAGAAAATCCTGGATTTTTTTTTTTTTTTTTTAAAGTGAACTACTCCTTTAATAAAGCCCTTCCACAAGTCAAGTCAAGTCACATTTATTTATATAGCACTTTCACAAGTTCCATACATGTTCTTTTCCAAAGTAATTTTGATATCTAAGAACATTATTACTGTATTAACATACAAATGATGAGCTAAATTGGGTGATAAGTTGCATAAATGTATTAAGTATTCATTTTTATAGCTGACCTGCTCACATTTTATTTTATTTTTTTATTTGCAAACATTTGGCCATAGTTGTACCTTAGTTCTGATCTTATACAGTTAGTAAAAGAAAATGCTGCTTTAACACATTGATTCATTTTATAGTTTATATCATGATTTACTATAATCAACTAGTAATGTATTACATGCTTCATTAGTCTTTTTTTTCCCCCAAACTCCCATCCCATCCCATCTTTAATTGTGCAAGTGAGCATATAACTCTGTTACTAAAAATATATGAAGTGCCCAAAGGGGACTAAACACTATGTTATGCAAGTTGTCCTGGAAACCACATTTCTCCTGGTGAATGAATTATTGACAAACTGCTAATGTTAACTAATCCAACTGAATAATTCAGTCGCAACACAGTCCCAGATTCAAAACTCTCTGGCATGTTATTCTTCCTTTCAGTGCTTTTGCGGGTGCATGTGAAAAATAAGTTTTTAGCCCTGGTTGTCAAGCATTGTCACAACAATCTGGTCTCGGCGCTGTGACATGACATGATGCTGACAGGTGAGGAAGAGTTCTCACCTTGCGAGGGATTGATGGGAGATTAGAGATCTGAGACAGACTGTAGTCACATAATGAATACGGTAAAAGCAGAGAGTGAACAAAGGGGCATGAGGAGGAAAAATAACAAGAGCAAGAGAATGCGCTTTAGACCTCAAGTATGAATGATAAATGAAGTGTAGACAGAGAGGAGCTCGTAGAGGTAAACAATGCCAAACAAGACAATGTGTTTTAGACAGAGAGATGACAAATGGAATGAGAAGAGGAGGCAGCTGAATGAATGAGTGCATCCAATATCAACAGATATGATAGCATGCAGCTCTCAAGCCCATGAGGATTACGTAAAGACCATTACAGAAAAAGTGCACACTGAGGAATATGAAGTCTCTGGAAAACAGGCAACGAGTTTAATCATGCACATCATTAAAGACATCTTCTGTATGACATAGCTGCCTTATTATTATTATCAAACAACTAAGTGATACTGTATAGGCTACAATGATGAGTAACCTAATCTGATGTTGGTCCTCCGTGTGCTGCCAAAACAGCGCCAACCCAGGACCACTGACCCAGACCCTACCATATCCCTGAATGTGTCTCTGGGACCAAGACAGATCCTTCAAGTCCTGTAGGTTGCAAGGAGGAGGATTCTGTGGATTGAACTTGTTTGAGATCTTGGGAATTTGGAGGTCAGGACAACACCTTGAACTCGTCATGTTCCTCAAATTGTTCCTTAACAATGTGTGCAGTGTGGCAGGGTGCATTTTCCCACTTCCAACAGGGAACACTACTAACATGAAGGGTGTTCTGCAACAATGTTTAGGTAGGGGGCACATGTCAAATATGAATGGCTGAACTCAGAATTTCCCAGCTGGGGTCATCATGACACTCTGTTTGGTCTGTGACTTGTGCCTCAGTAAACCATCTGTGGCTCAGACCAGACAGGATAGCCTTCATTGCCCTCGTGCATCAATGAGCCTTAGGCGCCCAACAACCTATTGCCTAAAATGATTGTGGTTTGTCAATCCTCAGACCACTGTTGGTAAATTCTCACCACTTCTGACCAGGAGCAACCCACAAGGCATGCCGTTTCAGAGATAACTGATATTTTGCTTACCATATAAAGGACCTTAACATTTGTCCTTATTAGGAAATGATCGACAACATTCACCTTTGACTGGTCATAATGTTATATATTCCTAACTTAATTTTCTTTATTCTATGATATTGGCATACTATGCCTGCACCAGCCAAATCATTTGACCACGTTCTTTACCTACATCAAGATATAATGACACACTTTGCCGCTTCTCTTCTTCAAAAGCCATTTAGATTCTATCCAGGTCATGGCATCAGTGTAACAGACCCTCCCCCCCAAAGAGACAGCCCACTGTGATGTGTTCTGTCAAACCTTATGAATGCAGATTAATGCATAGTTACTTTAAGCCTGTAGAATGCATATGTGGGTCACAAATGAGATTCTTCTCTGAAATGCAAATTAGACATAACACGACTTCTATAGATTCTGTCAATCAAAAAAAAAAAAAATTCAATGATAGTTGTGATTTTTACTGGGACATGTGAATCTTCATCTTAATTTTTTTAGGAATAGGGAAAGGAAAGAGAAAATGTTTTCTTTATTAATACCACAAGTTTACATGTATACATTTAAAAAAGGTAACCCTATGCTTTTCCTGTTATATAAATAGGAAAAGGGGTAGGGTTACACAAAATTAGGGTGACCATATGTGTGTGTCTGCATGCATATTTATAAACTAGGGGTATTAATGATGGGGTTTTAAGATGAAAAAGACTACTTTTTATGAAAGTCCATCACCAGAATAGATAAATCCAATTACATTGTACAGTTGTGATAAAATAGAGTTTGCAGGCTTACAGTACTACTCATGTCCTTGACTGTGTGAGCTCGGAGAAAACTGAAGGTATAAAGAGTGCATGTTCTTCCGAATCAGATTGATTTCTACTTTAATCCACTGCTTTGTGTGTTCATCTTTCACAGGTTCCTTTTTTTAAAGTGAATAAATATGATATAATGTATACATTTTATAAATGTATATTTTTTGTAATATAAATTGTGAAAAACAAAATGTTTTAAATATTGTGTGGTCACATTGACACTTAAAATGTATAATTTTATGCAAACAGCATAATACACAAATGAAATATTACAAGAATGACATATTTAATAGATTATATTTTTCAATAAGGGTTAGTGTTGCTTTAAAGCCAGAGAAAGTTTTCATAGGTACGGTTGGTTGGAGAGAAAGAGACAGCAATGTAACTTCCCCACAAAGCACAGCTGCCATCTAGTGTTAGAAAGAGCCATCCAGTATGTGGCATAACAGATCCACTGAGTTAAATTGTGTTGATGTTTTTAATCCTTTTCTCAAAGTCTGTGCTCAAAATCAGCACAAATGAAAACAGCAAACCAAATAACTGCATTGATTTAAATTATATTTTGCTCAATAAGTAAAGTAAACCACATGGTGGTGAAAACTAAAGTAGATATTTAAGTAATAAAGACCTTTTATTTGTCCCGATACGCGTTTTATAGACCCAACTACACAGAAAATACACTATGCAAAACAGATCACATTAGCACAATCAAACATACTCACAATTGGAGAAGTGCCACTCTTACAAGGGGAGAGGTAAGAGTTGTTTAATCCGAGGTACCAGTACAGCATTCACAAAGACAGCTAATATGCAATGTGATGCATAATAACAAACGCAGTCTGTGAAATCGAGTCATGCACATGTATAAAAATAAAGCATTATGATAATACAAACCACACTGTTTATATAAAAGGGTATTATCAAAGGAAACATGATGATTATGATAAAAAAAGAGCATAAAACAATACCACAGACATCAACACAAATATCCACCGACATTTCTAAAATGTTTTGTCAAATGCTAATTAGTATCAAATTCTGGATAAAAAATATTTATTGTGAACACAAATGAAAATATAGTAGCTCTCAATGTGTAAATAAAACAGCTCTTAAATCTTTATAATACTGAAACAAAGGAATTAGTGTTGGCACATTGGTAATAGAACAGACATAATTTAAGTTTCTGTTTATCTGCCATGATTAAAGGGCACAATAAATATTGGCACTGCTGAAAAAAAAAAACAAAAAAAAACACCCAAATTATGTACAACCTAAAAAGTTGAATCTTTCAAAATAATGAGAACTACACTGTATGAATAAAGGCAACAAGAAAGTCACAATGTGAATTTGTGCTTTATATGTTGACTGGTTAATGGTTTATGGTACAAGTTTGATCAGACAGAGTATATTTTCTGGTTGTCTCAGAGCTCTACAGTCCGGAGATGCCCACGAGGAGAAACACTGCCTAGGTTATGTAGAATACACTCTGAAGCCTCCACTACGCTTCCACAACATGACCAGTGGGGCTTACCGGGGTGTCCTTTATGACCATGTCCACAACCCTGAAAACCTCCTAAGTGCGCACACACAAACACATTCCCTTTAATGTGATTGAATACATATTATATTAAAAATATTTTTGTACTACAGTACCTGGCATGGTCCCTGTGCAGCCACAGCGTGCCTCTTTAGCGCCCCCACTAGAGCAGAAGGAACAGCAATGGAATACGCCACAGTGGCGTCTGAACTTCCTCTTCACATTTAACACGAAAGGTGATCCCTGGAAAACACAGATTGTTGGAATGTCAGTCCCCTCCCAGCATCACTGATATTCCTTCAAACGGGCCAATAATTTTGTTGTTATTATAAGACACGTGCTGGTTTTGGTTTAACTGGACAGTTACCTGGACGTGCTGTGCTTTAACACAAACCCACACAGAGTAAAGACCTGCTTCAGCCGGGGTGTAAGACACACCATAGGAGCCATCACCGTTATCCACCACACACACCTCCACAGAGCTGTAATGCCAGAGAGGGGAAAAGAGGAGTCACATTCTTAGTCGCATTGAAGATCTTAATGGATAACTTTTATTGCAGAGTAGCAGTGACGGTCTGTCAGAATGAACCCAAAACATCCTAAACTCAAGTCCTGTTACAGTATACCACCCCTTATGTAAATGAAGTTGCTCCTTTTGTACAAAGTTAGACACCCTATTGTCGGAGATGGTTCTTAGGGTCCTTCACTTGCTCCCATTCTACAATTGAATGGATTCTACATTTCCTCAGGACTTTATCCATTCAAATCGTAATGAAACTGTTGACTTTGTTCTACTTCTACACCTCCAGCGGTTCTGTTCCCTGGGCTAGAGCGGCTGGTCGTTTGTGATGGCTCAACAGCTCCAGGACTCCTACTGCAAGTGGCTGCTGGCTGAGGGAAGCGACGTCGGGGAGTTCATTGACCGTGTGGTACTGGAGCAGTTCATCGCTAAAGAAGACGGCAGAGTGGGTTTAGTGCCACTGACTGACGTCGCTGGACTTGGCCATTCAGCTGGCGGAGGACCAGTTGGTGGCGTGCTCTCTCTCTCCTCCTTTTCTTCCTCTTCCCGCTCGTCCTGTTCTCCTTCCTAGGTCCCGTCCTCCTGGACCATTCCGTGGCCCACCCCGGGGGTGGAATTTGTTTGCGAGAATGAGTGACAGCTGATTCTAGTGAATTCAATTTCTTTTACATAGTGCTGTGCGCACAACTTTGAGTTTGTTCAGTTTACTTTTTTTTCCAATAAAAACCCACAGTCTCCACAAGCCCTGTTCTCTTCCATCCCTGAAACTTGAACATTGTTACACTGACAATATGCATGACATCAAGTTAAATACTTAGTTTAAATTAATCCTTGTGTAAACCAAATGTATGAAAATATAATATGCAATTAAAATACTTTAATTCAGGCCCAAATATCAAGTAATAAAAACTGAAATGTTATAAAAGTATGCAAATATTTTTCTCAATTTGATAAAATGGCATGTGCATTAATGGTTATAATGGGTATAATCATTTTTAAAAATTAATTTTCCCTGTGTACTCACCAATCCTTCCTATCCTTGTGCACTATGCTGACCAGCACAGGGTCTCCACCTCGGCCCATCTGCTCTCCAGAGGAGTCCCTGCAAACCAGAGTGAACTCGTCCCGCTGGCCCTCACGACCTCGCTCCACACCTAATAAATAAATAAATAAATAAATATCAATATCAAAATAAAGGCAAGCAGAAGTATATTGTCCTCCCGAGGTAAACCTGCATGTGGCATGCTGGGACAGAGCTGGAAAAGTGACAGCACCAGACCAGTACATAAAAAGGTTGAGTTGTTGTCATAGTAGCCAGGAATGTTAACTGCTATTTATCCCAGTGTCATGCCCTAGCCCTTTTGTTGTGTGCACTTGTGTATGCATCTGTGTGTGGTACAAAAGTGGATCTAAAGTCTCTCTTTCAGGCTTCAGATCTTGTTGCACAGAAAACTTAAAATATACAATTTCATCTGAAACGGTTTCTGAGGAATGTGCACTCACTGAACCGTCATGTGTTTGACAAAGACTTTAAGATTCCACAGAAGAGTCACAAAACCAAACTCTACTACATGTTACCACAGTTTCTTGAGTAATGTCATTCATGATTCAAAACAGACTAATGACCCAATTCAGAGGGAGAGGAGTTTATAAAAGTACAGTTTTAAATCAGATTTCACTTTAAAAGAAGCAGTTAATATATATATATATATACACTCACCGGCCACTTTATTAGGTACCCCATGCTAGTAACGGGTTGGACCCCCTTTTGCCTTCAGAACTGCCTCAATTCTTCGTGGCATAGATTCAACAAGGTGCTGGAAGCATTCCTCAGGGAGTTTGGTCCATATTGACATGATGGCATCACACAGTTGCCGCAGATTTGTCGGCTGCACATCCATGATGCGAATCTCCCGTTCCACCACATCCCAAAGATGCTCTATTGGATTGAGATCTGGTGACTGTGGAGGCCATTTGAGTACAGCGAACTCATTGTCATGTTCAAGTAACCAGTCTGAGATGATTCCAGCTTTATGACATGGCGCATTATCCTGCTGAAAGTAGCCATCAGAAGTTGGGTACATTGTGGTCATAAAGGGATGGACATGGTCAGCAACAATACTCAGGTAGGCTGTGGCATTGCAACGATGCTCAATTGGTACCAAGGGGCCCAAAGAGTGCCAAGAAAATATTCCCTAACCAATGACACCACCACCACCAGCCTGAACCGTTGATACAAGGCAGGATGGATCCATGCTTTCATGTTGTAGACGTCAAATTCTGACCCTACCATCCGAATGTCGCAGCAGAAATCGAGACTCATCAGACCAGGCAACGTTTTTCCAATCTTCTATTGTCTAATTTCGATGAGCTTGTGCAAATTGTAGCCTCAGTTTCCTGTTCTTAGCTGAAAGGAGTGGCACCCGGTGTGGTCTTCTGCTGCTGTAGCCCATCTGCCTCAAAGTTCGACGTACTGTGCGTTCAGAGATGCTCTTCTGCCCACCTTGGTTGTAACGGGTGGTTATTTGAGTCACTGTTGCCCTTCTATCAGCTCCAACCAGTCTGGCCATTCTCCTCTGACCTCTGGCATCAAAAAGGCATTTCCGCCCACAGAACTGCCGCTCACTGGATGTTTTTTCTTTTTCGGACCATTCTCTGTAAACCCTAGAGATGGTTGTGCGTGAAAATCCCAGTAGATTAGCAGTTTCTGAAATACTCAGACCAGCCCTTCTGGCACCAACAATCATGCCACGTTCAAAGTCACTCAAATCACCTTTCTTCCCCATACTGATGCTCGGTTTGAACTGCAGGAGATTGTCTTGACCATGTCTACATGCCTAAATGCACTGAGTTGCCGCCATGTGATTGGCTGCTTAGAAATTAAGCGTTAACGAGCAGTTGGACAGGTGTACCTAATAAAGTGGCCGGTGAGTGTATATATATATATATATATATATTTAATTCTCTTTCATTTACTCACCCTCATTTCATTTCAAACCTTCATGACATTATTCTGTGGAACATACATTCTTGGAAATATATTTCAATAATAACAATACAATGAAAGTTAAAAAGAAATGGCACTGTCAAGCTCTAAAATGAAACGTCATAAAAGTGGTCCAAGTTATATTTAAAGGGATACTCCACCCAAAATGGAGTATCCAATTTTTATGGTTTTAATTTACTTTAAATGGTGCTTGTGTGTCATGTTTATAAGTATCAGTTTGAAAGTATCAGTTCTCATACCTTGTATGGAATTCCAATTGCATGGAAAGAGCGATCAGAACAGTGCAAAATTCCTGGTGCTTCTTTGATTAAAGAAAGTCTTAATTTTTGGAATAACATCAATAACTGACAATTTCCAGGTGGAAACTTTATAACAGGTGAACTATTCCTTTAAAGCTGGGGTCTTCCTTTGTCAGCGGTGTTAAATCTCTTACACCACATCCTAACCATGCAATATGATTTCAGCGACAAACACTTTGTCTCTCCACACCACACCATCCACTTTTTTATGTCCTTCCCCCACTGTCTCGTTCACTCGGATGTATGTATATTACATTGCACGAATGCCCACTACTGGCATAACCCTGGCAATGTGTTTAAATGGAAAGCCCTAAGCCCACTTGATCACTAGGAATTTGCTATGGAGCCTGCCGTACAAATTACTGTTGAGACGTCACAATTGTGTTGGATTTTGGTCAATGGATCTAAACATACAAGTAAAATCGAGGGTTTGAGGGTGTGTCCAAATAACATTTCCCTCATCCACCCGACGAAGCTGAGCGCATTCAAAATGGTGGAGGCAATTCCCCTGAAAGGAAGTGCTTAGGGAAGTTTGCAAGCTTATGTCTAAAAGTGGAGTTAAACGCAGCCCAGACCTACTCTCACCTTCTCCCTGGATAGTGCACTTGCTGGGATCCAAAGTTTTGGCATGTAGAACTCCAACCACAGGAAATCCCTCAATCTCCCCAGCACTCTCCTGAGGAAGAAAACAGATGCTGCTGGCATTATCGTGGGTGATCGTCGTTGGGTGTGGATCGTATCCTGACTCTACAAGGTTCATCAATCTCCTCATAGTAACTCCTTTGGCACTGAGGATTTCGGCATCTGAACCGCACATGAGCAGGCGTTCTGCAAAGTCCACTCCCCCACGGACGTCAGACAAGGCTTGGTGCAGTTGAGCCTTCTGCAGATGGAGTTGGTTCCTGCGCTGCATTTTCAAGTCCTCCAGTGACCGCAGCAGCGAACAGCAATGTGCCTCCACAGCGTTGGCATAACTCCGAGCAAACGCCCGAATCTCACCCGCCAACGTGTCAGTCCTTGCCCGCAAAGCCTCTTGGGATGTGTCCACGCATCTCATTGACTCCTCCAGACGAGCAAGAAGAGGCCTCAAGCTCCTGACGACCAAACCCCTGATGCGATCTCCATGGCGACTGATGACCTCATGGGCAGAGCTGCAGTGGTGGTCACGGTGAAAGGTGGCCGCACACTCCAGGCACACAGTGAGGTCACATGGCTCGCAGAAGAGGCGTAACTCCTGACCAGGATGCAGCGAGCACAGGATGGGTCTAGTGAGACGACCCTGGGATTTCAGCTCCTGTAGGCTTTGGATAGAGTGAGAGGAGGTCCTCTTCTGTCTCCTGCAGGGAAGATACATATTACAGGACTTAGTTTGCATTCAAGTCACAATGAAAAGATATTATTTATGAGTTGAATGCTCATTAACACCACCACAAATTTGTAATTTCTAGGGAAAATCCCTGGATTTTATTTAAGCCCATAGTTTCAGGGCATTTCATAGAGAAAACATGGTGGAATCAAAGAATGATGCATCTGTTGACAGTACATTTGTAATAAGAATGATTTTTCCCCCCTCATTTACAATAAAACTAAATAAGTTGCATAAATGTACGATAGTGTACAAAATACAGTAGCATTGAACAGTTATGATAGAATACATATACCACGATTAAGCAATTTAGTCATGGTCACAATTTGTGGTTGTTGAATAAATGCACTTACTCTGCGCTAGAATACCAAGTCTTTTTTAGTTGTTTTAATAGAAACATTAACAAAATGTATTTCACTTCAATTTAGTTTTTCAGTTTACTACGATTACGAAAAACAAAGAAAAACACATGATGATGCATTCTTCATCATTTAGTAGAAGAAAAGTTCTTGCTTTAATTTTTTGTAAGAAAACATGCAGATTAATCTGACCATATTCATTGAAAGCACCTGGCATTATAATTATGACTTAACAATTTGTGTAAACAAACTTCACAAGAGAACTTGAATGCACCATTTTGCAATGGCTAAATGAAGCAGAGAATGCATTAGGGGGGTGTTCAGTTCACACAGGACACGTCTTTGGGACAGCCATTTTTGACCATTCAATGTAATGTTACATCTGAATAACCATAGGTCTTGACCTTTGACCCTTACCCAAATTCTAATCTGGTCACCGTCTTTAAATTTTCTGAAATAACAAGAACAGTTCGTGTCGCGATAAACTAACCTGTGGGCCTGACTGCAGAAGTCGCATAGGTTGACACAGCACACCTCACAGCGCTTCCCCGCGTTACTGTCGCTGCACAAGTCGCACAAAACGCTGCTGTCGACTAGCAATGTCTCCGTGAAAACCTCATCTAGCGCGAGATGATCAGTGGTCAGCCCATCCACACCCGAGGGCGGCAGATTCACCTCTGAATCGCACTCAGGACACAGAATCGTGGAGCCAGAGTTGTGTCCGTGCGTCTCATCCTCAGGCGATCGTCGTTCCCCGTTCACGCTACGCACAGAAAACGGCTCGAGCTGGCGAACGCAGTCCGCACAGAAAGTATGCAAGCAAGGCAAGATTTTAGGGTCTCGATACATCCGATTACAAACACCACAGACCGGTCTGGACTTCTTTCCCGAGTCCCCATTGCTTTCACCCAAGACGGTTTCTCGCTTTTCTTTTTGAACTAATCGCTCTTTGCAAAGTGACATCGTAGTTGTTATTTTTTTATCAGGGTTTTATTATAACTCGCGCTTATTCAAAAACAAATGATGACGCGACAGTAGTAGCCTGCTTTTGGTAAGTTAGTATTTACAAAAAAAATGCAACTCAGTCCAAACTTTCTGAGAGAGTTAACTTTTTCACCCATGTTATTTGAGAACGTGTCTCGCCATCCAATCATATTATGCGTTCACATTTGGGGGCGTAGCCTGAAATCTGACCTATTCTAGCCTTTACTGTCTATATGATTCTAGCCAGTCCCCAATCTTCTGGCTAGACAGATCAAACCACCACTCACAGGTCAAGATTTGCAGTTCATGCTTTATTTCTTGCTAAAATGTAATTCATTCCTTTACAAAATACCTTTAATTAATCCATTTGCAAAAGTTCCTTTAAATATTGGCATTTTTATAATAAACCATGGAGACTATTTGTAATAGCCTAATAACAATATACAATGTATTATAAGTGTTTTTGGATGTAGGTTTGACAATATCATTGTATTGGTTATAGTCAGCAATTACATAGCAAAGGTCTTTTGTTATCGGTGCCACTTTATCATTAATGTTTCAATAAAATCATAGCAATAGCCTACATTGGTAAAAGTATTTATTCATCTTTGTTGACCGTTGAAAAAAATACAAAGGTTAATTATTTCATGTTAGCTCAGGTCCATATTAACAGATACAAGTTTTGTTTTAATTAGCCTAGTAGTAAATGTTGAAATTAATATTAAATAAGATTTAACATTAAATAACACGCCACAACGCGGTCTCCTGAACTGCCGCCTTCACTGTGGCTGCCCTAAAGGCTGCCCGTAGGGTCATCTCCGCTCTGGCCGCATGCACAGCCTGCTCTGCCCCGGTCGCCTGCTCCGCCCTGGTCCGCCCACGCTCCATGGCCCATTGCAATGTCCTGGACCCGTTCCCCTATACAGGTCTGGCCCTCCATCCCTCCATCCCTCCCCCGGGCTGCCTTCGCTTCACCACCCTCCTGAACTATTGTGGTTTTGCCTTGATTGGCATTGGGAGCCACCCATAAGGGAGGGGCTATCATGCTGTGGGTGTTGTGTCTTGTTCCTTGTTCTTGTCTGTCATGTCATTCCCTGTTTGTCATGTGGTCCTGCCGTGTGTCTTGTCTTTTGTTAATTGTCTAATCATTGTTCACAGGTGTTCCTTGTCTTGTAATTAGTCAGTGTACGGGCTACCCACATAGCAAACAGACTTGGCCCAAATGTGGCCTCATCATGGCACTGCTGGCGTGTTGCCGGCAATGGCATGCATCATGTCAGCCAACTGTGGGCCAAGTGTGGCAATGATGGCACTGCGTGCATGACGGCAGACAACTTCTGGGCCGATTGTGGATGGGAGGTGTGTGGCCCACATCTTGTCAGCCAACTGTGGGCCAAGTGTGGCAATGATGGCACTGCATGACGGCAGACAACTTTTGGGCCGATTGTGGATGGGAGGTATGTGGCCCAGATCAGTGTAGCGATTGTGGGCCATATTCTGTGTACTGGACAATAAGCCTGCTACTATATTTTCAAGGCAAGATTATACCCCACCCCGACCCCTCTGAAAAAGGTGTTAAGATTTTAATAATAAATAATTATAATATAAATTGACTTAAATGAGTCAGTGAAAAAATATATGTCCAATTGTTTAAAAAATGATTAATAATGAATAAATATAGCATTTAGTTTTCAGCAATGTTTACAAAATGCTGTATCATTAAAAGATATACATTTACTAACATGATAAGTATTAGACCTATGATTTTTTTAAGTATTAAACCTATTATTTATTTGAATTTGTTTTTTTTTTTTATATAAATTTGTAATAAAAAAAAAAAAAATCCACATCCAAGTCTAAGTTTTCCATACTTTTTATTTTAAGCACCACAAAATCATGTTAAAATGTAATATCTGGATTTTTTTTTCTCGAAATAACAGTTTATTTAAAACAGCAGTCAACTATTGTTTTATTTCGGCGCGATCTCCATGGTAACAGCAGCTTTTCTGGTTGGTTCACGTGATGCGTCTTTTGAAATTTCTCCCGCTGAAGATTGAAGAAGAAGACGACATCTCAGACAACCGCTGTACGGGTAAGTGAAGTTCACTCTCTTTTTGGCGCTTTTTTAATACCTGATTTCAAACTCGGATGCCACTTTTTTTCTTTATTGAAGTGAACTTTTGCCTCGTAGCTGATTCAGTTGCCCCTGAACATGAGAATGCCTATACAGACGCGAACGGGGTGCGATCATGTGCGATAGACCGGTGCGGAACGTCCTAGGCGAGGCGTGGTGCTTCATGTGTGCGAAACAATGTAATGTTAATGCTTTTAAAATTATAGGAAGATCACAGCAAATCCAGCAACCGCAATTGACTTAAAGCTGAAAGTGATTCAGTGGTTGTATAATTGTATGATATCTAAATCTAATCGTGGCTTGTTTCACATGAAAAGTACATGTTTTTTTTATTTGTGATCACAGACTGCTTATTTATTTTTGCTTGTCATGTATTGCTAGTCATTTCAGTATGCTATATTTGTAGGCGATTGAGAGAAAATAATAATACTGTACTATTAAAATATCTACAGTGAATGAATGAAATTGATCACATAATTTTTATTTTTTGTCTAAAACAATAGTTCTCAACCTGGGTAATGTTTAGAGGTTAATTTAAATGCAATAAACAATTGGCAACTTTTCAATTTGCTAACCATTGACGCATGGCAATGTTTTTCTTCCAACATATTGGGCATTATAAGGAATGAACGACTCTATAAAGTTGTCTTTTTCCCCTCCTTTCATATTGTTTAATTATTGATGATATGTAAGTTGCTCCCCCATTCCTGTCTGTTTGTTTGAGTGGATGTTATTTTATTTCTAAAGACTATAAGGAGTTGAAACTCTGGCCTAAGGCACTCACTTTCCATGATCTAACAAGATGATTAATACAAATGAGTTTTAGAGCTACATTAGTATCCTATATTGGTAAATCTGGAATAGTTGATGCATTTTCAATGTTAATTTTTTTTTTTTTTTACAGGACTGGTTGGGCCAGAAAACTTGACAGACTGTTGGTATGGCTGGTAATTGGAGTTACAATGAGAGGAGCAATGTGAGAAGAAGGGCTTTTACAGGTTGTAATAAGATGTTACACTTGGAATGTACAAAATAAAATAGCCTTCACACTGTTACACAATTCTAGGTGTAATATTTATTTGTGGTATTATTGTTAAATAAAATTTAAATTGAATAAAATATAGAATTTTTCTGTGACTTATTTGTTCACATGGTTTGGGTAAGGTTAGGCTGGGATATGGTTCAGTTTGGGGGTTTGAAAAGGTGGTATTGAAACGGTTAGCTTAGAATTGGTACCAATAATAAAACCAGTTTTGGCCCAGTTCAGGGCTAGTTAAGGGTGATTAACTGGTTGAGATTCGGGCCAGTTATGGCCCATGTGTGACCCTTGTCTTTAATCCAGTTCTGGGCCACTTCAGCGCCGTCATTCTTTGCGGTACTTGGGCCGAGGATTGGGTTCACATGGTTTGTGTAAGATTAGGCTGGGTTATGGCTCAGTTTTGGGGTTTCTGGTTAAAGGGTGGTGTCGATATGGTTAACGTATGGCTGAGAATTAGTACCAATAATAAAACCTGTTTTGGCCCAATTCAGGGCCAGTTAAGGGTGATTAACTGGCTGAGATCCGGGCCAGTTATGGCCCATGTGTGACCCTTGTCTTTAATCCAGTTCTGGGCCACCTCAGCGCCGTCATTCTTTGCGGTACTTGGGCCGAGGATTGGGTTCACATGGTTTGTGTAAGATTAGGCTGGGTTATGGCTCAGTTTTGGGGTTTCTGGTTAAAGGGTGGTGTCGATATGGTTAACGTATGGCTGAGAATTGGTACCAATAATAAAACCTGTTTTGGCCCAGTTCAGGGCCAGTTAAGGGTGATTAACTGGCTGAGATTCGGGCCAGTTATGGCCCATGTGTGACCCTTGTCTATAATCCAGTTCTGGGCCACTTCAGTACCGTCATTCTTTGCGGTATTTGGGCCGAGGGAAAAGTGATTGTGTGGGCCGGAGCTGGGCCAGAAAAAAATTGCTATGTGGGTATATGCACGGCAGTATTTCCGTGAAGGTCGATGCTGCATTACTTCTGCCGATTGTAGAGTCTAATGCTATACCGAGAATATTGGATTTTATACTCTGTGGTTATACTAAAGAAACGTTAGTCACTAAAACAGACAAAATAGACACCCCTCATTGTGTTTATGCTTCTTTTTTAAATTATATTAAATAAACATAACTAATTACATCTAAACGTATAAAGTTTCGTTTCAAAGATGGGAGGACAGTAAATTTGGAAGACTCTGCCATAATCCCATTTTCCTCGGTTTTCCTCCGTTTTAAATCTCCCCAACCGGAAATTGAAGAGCATCTTTGCATCAAATGCGGAACTTATGTGTGCATATAGCCCATTTAAGCCCTCTTGTTTGCCCTGTGTCTTTGTTGTACATTGAATGTTTCTTGTCCAGGTTGCCAGGTTTCATGCCTTGCCTGTGTTTTGATTTAGTTATATAATTAAAGTTTGCATTTGGGTCCTTACAGCTTGCCTCCTGCATGCCATTCATTACAGTGACCTTTTTGTAAATTGTACCTTTTTATCATCAATTAATTTATAGGCATGCTTCTTGTGGTTATATAAAATAGGATAATAAAAGAGATACTGATACTGTACAATGTCTCAAATAAGAAAAAAATCAGTGTAATGAAAGTCCTTTATTGGTAATACAAACATTTTTCCAAGAACATTTTAAGGTAATATGTGAACAATAATAAGTATCACATATGTTTGCAGATTAGCTGACATTGTGTCAATAACAATGTTTCATATGAAATAATTCATTGGATTTATGTGAAACATGAATTTGGATTTAGATATGTCCATTGCAGGTTTCAAAAATCTCATGTACTTTTTTTTTTTAAAATACAGTTTCTGTTTTTATTGGGAAATGTCAATATCGTTCAGGATGTGTGGTTAATAGATTGCATTGTTGTACTGTCAGCAGCAAACCTGAGGAAACATCAGTCAACCACTGGAGATACTTGTCTAGGTTACAGAGAGAAGAAGGATGACTGTGAACAGAAGTTGTAAGGATGACACTTTTGTAGATGCAGCACTAAAAATGAAGTATGTCTTCTCCGTCACTCTGTTTGCTGAAGAAGAATCATAAAGAAAAAAACAATGTTGACTTTAAGACAGAAACTCATGATTTGATCAACATGCTGCACGTGTCATTCTATTTAATGAGTGACACAATTTGTTTGTCCATTCTGTCCAGAAAGTTGTTTTAACAAAATTTGATTTTATATGCTGTGTAAATATTATGATTATGGGTGAGCCCTTCTTAACAACTAGTCTTTACATTTTTTTGTCAATATCTACGGTTTTACCTGTTACAGTTGCCTCTGAGATAGCTTTCACAAGAGCGTTCTCGATAAGACAGGTGTAGATATCATCCACTTTTACTTGGGTTTCGAGGACACTAGTAACTCGCATGATTCCAGCGTTGATGTTGATGAAATTGGTGCTGCTGTTTAAAAGCTGCCCACTCTGACTCATCCAGCTAACCTCTGGTTTGGGAAACCATCTATGAGCCTCAGCAAAAAGAGAGCCATTTCCCCTTTGAGTAAATGTGGGAGCTGTGAAAGCTGCAAAGAAACAGATATGAGCAGATCAGATATACACTAAATGTGTGTATATGTTAGCAATAAGGTACGAGAGACTGTGCTGCATGTATCGTGAAAAAGTCTGCAACCCCTTCAGCCGTTACTTATTCACGATGCAGCACTTGCCTCGAGTACCTTATTGCTTACATATAATTTGTTTCATTGTTACTTTGTGATTAATTGTGAAATTTACTAGCAATTTCCAGTGCATTCAAAGATAGTCAGATTGATTCAGTAATTTTAATAATTTTGTTAATCTCTGAGCACAGCACACAATAGTTTAGTTCCTATGAATCAGTTTAGGACAAATCATTTAAGTGGCGCGATTCTGAAGTCTGCATACAATGGAAACGTCTCGGTTACGTATGTAACCCTAGTTCCCTGATAGGGAAAGAGACGCTGCGTCAAACGCTGTGCATTCCCACAGCGTTTGACGCAGCTCGAAGTTCCCTTGAAAGGGAACTGTACTATTCCATGAGACAACCGGAGAGGATTTATGAATGACAGTGGACAACTGCCGGTGGTAGGTCATTTGATAATGACAACATGGCTGATCCCGATTACAGTCATACTACACTCGTACTAAAGATATACTTTTAAGCGGTCGTGAAGTAATTACTTGTTCAAAATAAGTACCTATCAAGAAAGTATACAATTTCGGATGCAGCCAGAAGCTTTTTTTGGATTTCAGTGAATCAGGGTTTTTAACAAATCAAATTAGAGAATGATTCAGTGACCCGCTCATAGAGACTCACTTGTTGTCGCCTACTTTTGGATCTATAAAGCAGAAATAAGATATGTGGATTTAAATATTTATTTACTTTGAAATAAATGAATAAAGAATGTATTTACCAGCAACTCTAAGGTTAACGCTCGTAGTCCCTGAGACTTTTGGTGCATTGACAGTGACGCGATACACACCCTCATCCTCCATCTTCACATTTCTCAGCAGAAGGGAGGCGTTGCCAGTTGATATAACATCTGAGAACAGTTGAGCCCTGTTTTTGAACTGTTTGTTCTGCCCCTGGAGTTGGGCTGCTTTGTTTTTGTATTCATAGACCACACCACTGACAGCATCTTTTAGCCAAGTAATTGACACATCACTCAATTTCTCATTGCCACTGTTGCTAAGAAACCTGCAATCCAGGACCACATCCTCCTCAAGATTCCCCACAATAGAGGGACTGCTGCTCTCAACGGTACCTTGGGACACTTCAAAATCAAACATAGACGTTTAGTTTTTACATCAACTACTAAATGTTGTACAAACTATGCAAACTGTTTATATTTTACTAACCTGAAAATGCAATAGCCAAAATGAAAATGATGAGTCCAGAAATGACCACAATCAGAACAATCATACTGCAAAAGACATACATTTGATGAAAAACATTCAGTATGGACTAATTGTACTATAATCTTCAAACTGAAATTGTTTGAAAAAGTTGCTCATTCTACCTTGAAAAGATTATTTGTCCAATTGAAGCCATTCTGGTAATCTGTTCCTACTTTCGAGCAGTATCTTTGATGAATCGATGTTCCACTCTGTTCATCATCTCTGCCGATGGCATAGTAAATCAACAGGCTAAGATGGACGAGCACTTCCTAATCCCGTAGACTAGTTTCAAACTGTACTTCCACTGAAAGAGATCAGCACCTCCTCCCTCTGTCAATATTACCTCTGAGAGGAGTGTCCTGACACACTTCATAACACACAGTTTGGCAAGAGTCGTGTGGTTATGACATGAACAGTTGCAAATGTTAGAAGTCAGACTGGCTTAACCAAGGGTGTCCATACTCAGTCCAGGGCCACTGTCCTGCAGAGTTTAGCTTCGACTTGCCTCAACACACCTGCCTGGATGTTTACCTTGATTAAAACCATCATCCTTTAGCGTCCTTGAGCCACCATACAGACTGTATTGTTTCAGGTAATGACTTAGATTATAAAAGTCACACATAGAGAAGAGCACACAAGAGCCAGGAATGCGATTTAAACTTTAGACAGAAAGCAATAAACTGTACAAGGGCCCAGAAACCCCACTGACGACCCTTAGGTCTGCAACTATTCAGTTCTGTTTCATTGAGCACTGTCTTGCTCTCTGCTAGAATGTGTTGTTTGAGATCAGAAACAGTTAAAAGCACAAAATTCAGATTACTTCAGGTCCTTTAACTTGAGTTTAACGAGTAGTAACCATTAATTATGTAAGTCAAATCTTCTGTTCTTTCACTGTTCACTTGTTTTCTGTCCCAGCACTTAAAGTAGCCAATTACAATAATCTGTAAATACCATGAACCATATATTAGATTACAATAATCCATTTAATAAAGTTTACTTACTGCCTGTTTCTGCTACAGAATGAGCAATAAAACCAGGTAATTGTGACTTTTTATCTCACAATCCTGTTGTTTTTTTTAATTTCAAAATTCAGAGAAAAAAGTTATAAACTTGCAATTGAAAGAAAAGAAGTCTGAATTTTGAGATATAAATTCGCAATTGCAAGAAAAAACTTTGTGAAATCATATACCAACTGGAAAACACTGTAATGCTGGCAGTACTGGGTGAAACAAGTATCACTCACTTACTGTAGCCTACAGTTAGTTTGTTGTTATGTAACTCACAGGACTAAACAATATGTTGCTTCAGTAAAAAAATATTACTAGACCTAAACATTTTCAGAAAACAACCAATTTGAACGACAGTGAAGTTATTGAATTGAGTTGGTTGGACATTTGTATTTTACATATAGATTCTAAAATAAAAAGGCACAATGTCATAAAAAAATACAATTTAAAGAGGGATTTCTACAAGTACAGATCATTAATTTATAGAATATTATTAATTAAATGAATCGGGTGACAAGACATTTTTTTTTTTTTTACAAGAGTAGAATAAATAGTCAAGAATCCTTAGAACAGCATTTGATGGAGTTCTTGCCACAGCAGTAAAGTTACTTTGACAGCCTTTCACTGAATGAGACATTATTTTACTGACAGATGAAAACAGGCAGAGCTAAACAAAGACATTATAACCCAGTAATATTTTACTGACAGATGAAAACAGGCAGAGCTAAACAAAACATTTTAATCCAGTAATATTTTTTAACAACCCAGTAATATTTTTTTTGCGCAATTATTTGACTTATATTTGAAATTACATAAAAAAAAATAATACAAAAAAAAAATTGCAGAGGGCTAATTATAAGTTGCTTGATGAGTAATTCCCAAGGAATAAACATGATTCTTCTAATAATCATCCCATGCTGTTTTAACTTGTGTAAAAAAAAAAAAAAAAGTAAAAAAAAAAAAGATTAATCCAGAAAAAGTCCATTAGTAGGATGGATTATTATTACACATAACAGGAGGCAACAGCTTTTCTGGGACTGTGTGTGCAGGTCCTTGAGGCACCAACATGTAACAAACAATATATTTATTTAAATTTACTTAAAAGAAAGACAGCACAAGCACACACATCAACAAAACATTTGACAAATAGATTTATTTCTTTTTAAATGATGAATCAACATACTGCTTAATAATCATAGATAATGTGATGTCCTAGCAGAACAACTACTAATGTACTGTAGGTCATCAATGTAAACTTGAGGAGAAATTTACTACTACACTTGATTAAAAGTAACTGAAAAAATGTCTAGTAAAAAAAAAGTTAATCTATTGAGTTAAAAGCTTATAGTTCAAAAGTGTCTAAATATATTGTTAATGCTACTTAAAGGCTAGAAAGCTTTTTTTGCAACAAGCAAGCAGCAACTGTAAATGAAGAAGGGGGGGAAGAGTGTGTTCAGTTTCTACATGACTGATACACACGCACGTCTCTCCAGAACAGGTTTGAGAGGGGAATATGGGTGTGGAGAATCACAGCCCAGCAGCTGACGTGTAGCTGATTCCCAATCCCGGCCGATCTCCAGCCTGCTGCACACACAAGGATACTGTCTGTCTGTCCGACAGGCCCAGTCCACGGCCCTCTTCACGGCCTCCCAGTGCATCGGTCTGAATGGAGAAGAGCACAAAGTTATGGATCAAATACACAAGAGTGAATCACTATGAGGAAGTGTGCTCGTACCTGGGCTCCTGAGACTCTTTCAGCCGGAGGAGAGACTCAAGCAACTGTCCCACTGCCAGCTTCTTCACCCGGATCAGCTGCAGCACCAGCAGAGTCGCCACCAGCCTCAAAACTTCAGCATGAGCCTTCACACCTGACAGACAAAACATGTGACTGATTAACTGATTCTGACAGACAAACTGGGTCTGAAAAACAAAGATTGATTTAAAAAATCTTATACCAAAGGAACGAATGCCTTTCTCCTGAAGGAAGACATTGGCAAAAAAGTCTACGTCCAGGTTGAGGAAGCTGCTCAGTCTCTCAGTGCACTCCCAGTATCCATCCTACATCCAAACACAATACACAAGTTCATATACCCTTGACTTACACATTTACATACTGTATATAATCTAGTGCATTAAATCATGTGTAAAAACCTCATGTTGAAGCTCAAACAGCTCCTTCCAGGCAACGGTGTCAGACAGATTCAAGACGTCACGAGGTTTTGTGAAATGTTGAGTCCTTAGTTGAAAATGAGGATCAGCCCTTTTTGTTGCTTCATAAGACAAAGGGTAGAAAGATGAGACAATGACATAAAATTCAGACAAGGGATAGAAAGATTTATTTTTTTTATTCCATATCAACATTGAAACCTCAGCAATGTGAGCCAACTTACATTGTGCAGATGTCACAGTGTATAGTGGTTGTGGTGGTTTGCTCCATTTTTTGCTGCTGTAGATGTTTGCCGCTGGTTGCGTTAGTTGTGTTTGTTCTTGACGAGGTGCTTCATAAAGTCCAGAGGATGAGGAACCAAAAAGGCTCAACGGCTCATTCGTACTTTGAAGGACACTAGATTCACGGGAAGCCTTGCCACAAAAAGATCCCAGAGAATAACTAGGAGTGATAGGCGAGTACTGCTTAGATGCAAGACGAGGAGGAAAAGTACGACCTTCAAAGATAGGGGGAGTTGAGGCGTCACGCTGGATCTGTGAGAGACATTGAACGGCAGGGAATTTCACCATTGAAAAAGATGTGCTCGGCCTGCCAAAAAGAGGAGCTGGAGGAGGGGCCCTGGAAGATAAGAACGGATCAGAAGCAAGACTAAGATTTGGAGGAGGACCTCCAAAGAGAGGAGGAGTTGAGGTGACACTGTGGATCGATGAGAGACAGCGAAGGGCAGGGAATTCTATCGCTGAAAAAGATGTGCTCGGCCTGCCAAAAAGAGGAGCAGGAGGAGGGGGGCAGGAAGATAAGAACGGATTAGAAGCAAGACTTGGAGGAGGACCTGCAAAGAGAGGAGGAGTTGGGCCTTCAAGTTCCAGCGCTAGGGGAAGGCCATCAGCATAAGTTTCACAGAGGAGAGAGTCCACTGATTCAGAAATATGAAGGGGAGGCGGGACTGAGGAGGCAACCTTGGCGGCAGGGGGAGGGGGAGGTGGAGGAGGAAGCCTGTCACTCATGGAGCCAGATTTGGACATCAAGGCACCACCAGAAGGACGAGGAGACATCCAGCGAGCGCCGGAGGGAGGTTCCATTGTCCTTACTATAGGAGTCACTTCTGTCTGTGATGCAAGGTTATAATTTGAGGAGAGAGATTCTACTGACTCATTGTAACAGTGAATTTGAAAGTTAAGAGACTTTGAGGCTACAGTGGGAGGAGGAAGTCTATCACTCATTGAGACACCACCAGTAGGTTCCTCTGATGCAAGAAGAACCGACTTCGGATCACTTACATAAGAACTAGAAGAACCGCGAATAGCACCGTCAAAACGTGAAGGACGCCAGCTGCTTCTGAAGCAAGAACGAGGGAGAGCTGCAGATAAGTCCATTTCAAAATCCTCAATTGGATCCTCATAGTCATCCTCTGAATCATTTGCATCATAATATAATCGTTTAGCAGCCCGTTTAGCTGAAAACAACTGGACAGGAGATGTGGAGCCGCTACTGCGCCATTCCTCTGAATCCATCTAAAAATAAATAAATAAATATATAAATCAAAATTATTGGTGTGAATACTGAAGATCTGAATACAGAATCATGTCAGCTTAGATACTAAATTACGTGACAACAGCTGTAATTGACCATTTTGTTGTTACCCATACATTATCAGCACAAATAATGTCCTCAACCATGAGCTTCTCTTCACTCCAGCCCATATATGGCAAAATATCCACATCCTCTTCTGATATGAGTTTAGGAATATCTGTCCATCCACTGTCGGGCTCATTCTGCTCCTAAAAAGAGCAAATGAGGACATACAGATTTTTTTTTAATTTAACTTTCATATTTATTTATTTATTTATTTATTTCACCTTTATTTAACCAGGTTAATCGGTTGAGAACAAGTTCTCATTTGCAACCGCGACCTGGCCAAGACAGGCTAAAAGTGCAAGGCAACATAAAATTACACATTGTGTACAACATTCAAGTGTATAATCACACATACAGATTTTCAGGTTCAATTAAAATGCAGAACAGAGTATAAAAATTTAAAACAACTTACTACTATTAACTTAGTACTAAATAAAAGCACAAGCAGTATAGTTGAAGGATAGATATCCTGAGATAGCATAAATAACATGGTGCGGTGTAGATTATTACCAACAATAGCTGTTCATTTGGATATGCACAAGAAATAATATTAACATGTACAGTGGTCCGTTAGTAGTTTAGAAAGTGTTGCTTTAAAAGTAATGATAGGTATGAAGGATTCTAGTTTGAGAGATTTTTGTAAATTGTTCCAATCGTTTGCAGCAGAAAATTGGAAAGAAAAGCGACCATGAGGTACGGGCTTTTCTAGCAACGAGGAAGATGTATCTACTCGAGCGCAGGTTGCGTGTAGGTACTGCCACAGGTATTAATGATTTTAGATAAGATGGTGTTTTGCCTAATAAGGTCTTGTAGATTAGATAATACCAGTGGCTTAGGCGCCGGGTATGTAACGAAGGCCATCCAACTAGTGAATAAAGGGTACAGTGATGAGTGTTATATGGGGCGTTGGTTACAAAACGAATAGCACAGTGGTAAACAACATCCAGTTTCTTGAGGAGAGAGCTTGAGGCAGTTCTGTAGACTACATCACTAAAGTCAAACATTGGGACAATGGTCATTTTCACAAGGGATTGTTTTGCAGAAAAAGTAAAGGAAGCTTTGTTACGAAATAGAAAGCCAATCCTGGATTTAATCTTAGACTGGAGATAGTTTATGTGTGTTTGGAAGGAGAGCGAGGGGTCAAGCCAGACCCCTAGGTATTTATATTTCTCCACATATTCCAGCTTTGACCCATCCAGGGTGGTGATGTTTTTTAAACAAAACGGTGTAGTCTGGGACCGATTGAAAATCATGCATATATCACACTTTAGCAGAAATTGTCATTTACTTAAGTCCGAGAATTTTTGTTATATTTTCAATACCAGTATTTGGTATATTTTCATTATATATGAAACCCTCTGGGCCATTTAGTGTCCCACTTCTGAAAATGCGATTCACAATGTGCACAAATGGTCACCTTTTATTTTTATTACAACATTTTTAACTAACGATTATACTAGGCAAGTATAAGGAAAAGCTGCCTAAAAACACATGCAAGAAACATAATTTTACTAGCTACATGATTAGACATTAAAAGCATAAATAATTAAGAAATTTGTATTATTTAAAATTGTCTATTAATTAAGAAAAGGTAGAAAATGTTACTATAGGTAATTTTACATTTGTTTGGTCACTCTTTTTACTCTGTAATTGTCATTCTGTCACTTCGGTCAGTTATATTCTTAGTAGGTAGAGCCATGATATTTCAGGTATGTCATGTCCTTGTGTTTTAGTTCTGTTTATCGTGAGCACATGGCTGTCTTGTGTTTCTTCTGTGTCCTGTGCTCTCCTGTCTATTGTCTCACCCCGCTCCTCTTGTTATCTGATTATTGGTTAATTTGTCCCACCTGTCCTGTTCGTTACCCTTCTTTGTTTGTTCCCCTATTTAGCCTCCCTGTGTTTGTAGTCCAGTGCTGGTTTGTTGTCTATGGTCCCTTATGTGTTTTATACTACCTGAGGTCTCTATTGCCTGTTATTTAACAATTCCTCAGCAACTGTATCCACGTCTCATGTTCTAGCATTCCATGATAGTAAAGGTTTGCTCTGTTTCACAATTGAACAGACTTATGAATAGGTGGTAATACAGAGCAAACCTTTACAGAGTAAAAAGGGTGACCAAACAAATTTAAGCTACATAGCAGCATAGAGCATCATAGTTTTTGACTTTTTGTGTGTTTCTCTTGATCTTGAAACTTGAACAAAGACACAATTTTTTGCGTGAAATAACAACGAAAGATTATTGCTACACATTTAAAATTTTGTTGTTACAGATAAATTAGATAACATTTTTATTGGATTTGTAATATTATATATTGAATGAATGTTCTGAACACATAATCACAAATAATTATCAGTAATCATACCCTCTCTTCGATGGCGACAAAGCTTGTGAACTGGGACAAGATGGAGAACTCTTTACTGAGCTCAATGATGTAGGACTTCAGCTCTGCTTTCTTCCCCTGATAGGGAGATACAAGACAAGTCAAGTTCTTCTGTTAGCAAATTTGCCAGTTCTATTAAAAAAGCAACAATCAGTTAAATATTGTACCTCATGTTCTGCTTCACTGTTGCCTAAAATGCCATCTTCATAGTCTCTGATGATCGCTCTTGCTGTTAACTTGTGAAGGAACTACACACACACACACACACACACACACACACACACACACGCCAGATAAAAAATTGATGATGTTTCAGATTATAGAGGGAATGCGCGTGACGTCACCGTCGGCCGGAGTGCCTGCAGTTCCTCACAGTGAGTGGCAAAAAGACTGAGCGGCTGTATATGTGTTCAGCGTGAATGCCGCGAAAAACAAACACAACACACACAAATAAAGTGGGAAAGAGCTTTGCGATTGACTGTAGGCCTACAACTAGATTTGACAAAACATCGGAGGTATATTTGTACAGACTGCTATGGAAAGAGGAGCAAATGGATCGCTGCAATTCACAGAAACAACTGGACTCCAGTCAGCCAAAGGTGGATTTGCAGTTATAATTTTGTGTCAATATGCTGAATTTAGCTGGAAAACCATACCCATATATGTTGTATTGTTATATACATTATCAGCTCATCAATTAAATATTTATCATTGCATATTCTGCTTTATTGGATGTTTTTTAATAAAAAAAAAGTTTTTTTTTTATTAGAAAAAGTTTTAGGGCTGGACGATATGATGATATATATATAGGCTATATATAACACTGATATAAGTGATCACCCGGATTTAGACCTACCTATATTATATTTATATAAAGCGTTCACAGGCAAATTTGCTTTACGTTTAGGTTTTGGTTTATTTCCCCGGTGTCGAATCCCCGGATCAGGCAAACATAAATGTCAGGCAACACGATTCCAGGCTGCATGTCAATATTCATGGATCGCTGGATCTTTAGTAAGTTGTAAGGAACACTATATTGAGTCCAACATTTAGTTTAAATTGATAAAATTGTTCGATTTAGTCGCATTTCCACAGTTTTCCCCTATTAAATCCAGTCACGCAGCAGATCTTTTGCCACTCGGTCAGGCTGAGGGGGGTTGTCACGCGGGAAAGTCACGTGTCAAATGCATTCCCTCTATATTTAGTATTTAAGATGTTCACTCACAGTTCCTTTCGTCTTTTGTAGTTCTGTGGTTGAAACCATTGTTTTGATCTCATTCCCACTCAAATCTCCAAACAGAGTGGCCTAAAATAGAAAAAGAAATTACACAATTCAAATGAAATTTAGAGCAGCATTTAACATAATAACTATATGAAGAACAACATTTCATTACTTTCATTTATAGTATGCAACAATATTACTATGCTCGTATATACTTGTATATTACTATACTCGTATAAGCATTAATATTTACCTACATACTGTATACTTTTAAATATTTGAATATAAAAAATGCCATACAAAATCTTCATGAACATAATAATGCAAACAAAAAGTTGATTCAGAGCTTTGAATGTATTTTGTGAAACAGTTGGAAATAATTCATGGAAAAAACTCTAATAGTATAAAATATTAAAATTATAATTATATATGTTGCTTAACTTTACAGTGTTAGCAAAATCTTTGCGTATATATTGTGAATATTACAATATATTACTCAGTCCTCCTAACTACAAAAAGTAACAACCATCTGCAACACAATCAGATCAGCTGGTAAACACTAATGGCGCAGGTTTACCTGAGTGCAGTGCGGCACAAAGCCGTATATGAGAGTGTGACAGTCACTGAAGAGGCTGTGAAGCTGTGAGGGGGCTTGAACAGGAGGAGGCGCTGTGGGATTAAACTGCTGCCACTTCACTGCCACTGATCTGCAGCCTGGAGACTCCATACGCTGAACCTGAGCGCGGACCTGAAATTACCAGCATATCTAGTAAACTCAAGCCTCAGTGCGGCCCATGTTGAACAGATAATGTTTCTTTTTTCCTGATAAAAACAATACAATTAACAAAGTGATTCACCTTCTCAGCCCAAGTGTGTTTCATCTTTGTGTCAAAAAATTCACATGTTCCTCCTCCTGCTTGAGCCAAAGCTCTGAGCATATGCCGATTAGCTGTCAAGCTAGACAAACAAAAACATAAACTGTATGTTCAGAAATGAATTGAAGTGTTAAAGAGATTAGAGTTGAACTCTTCAAAGGCAGACCTGAGTCCACAGGTGAAGAGGCGCGTGTGGCGGGAGTTTTCTCGGACCAGCTCTAGGGTCAGAGGCTGGTTCTGAACATGTCCATCAGAGAGTAGCAGGATGTTCCTCACGCCCCGGGAGGGAGACAGCAGGCTCAGGCTCTGGAGAGGTCGCCACAGCTCAGTGCCGCCACCAGCGCCACTACAGGACTGAAGAGACCACACATGCAATGACATGAACATGAACTTTAATGATTAACCAAGGGCTCAAGGTTTTGCTGGTTAATGTGGTACAGTTACACCCTGCTGGATGATGCTGTAACTACATTATGGTGGCAAAACATCTTGCTTTATTTGGAACGAGTGTCAATGAGGACCAACTGAAAAGCTGAAATGAAGGGAAGATGATGCATAATGTATCCATAATGTAACAGAAGAATATCTCAATGTGCCCTCTTTCAAAGCACAGAAAAACTGACTTTTAACAATTTTTAAACATTACTCACCATAATAAATTTTCTGGCTGGTTCAGATGCTTCATCTAAAGGCATTGGTGCAGGAAAAGCTTCCTTGTAATCTAAAAAAACAGATTTTAAGATCAACACTGTGTGAATGAAGGAAAAGCATAAAATATTCTTCACCCATAATATTTACTGTGAATTACAAGAATAATAGGGAAATAAAAAGATGATCTCTAGAACAACAGCAGAATGTTTGAGAGACACTAACCAGTGCTGAAAGAGATGATGTTGATCTTCAGTGAGCGGTCCAGAGATTTCAGGACTTGAAGGGCAATCCTGCGGGCGTTCAGCATGGCGTCTCCCTGCATGGACTTGGAGGAGTCCAGCAGAATCACCACATCGCTCACACTGGACGGATCTCCAGAGCTGGAAACCCCGCTTGACTTAAAGTCTGGATAAAACACCAGCATGCAGGCCTGCAGAGATCAGAGAGTGTCAGAGAATGACCTTTCTTTGTGTATTTTACGTCAGGCCATGTGAAAGAAATGTCTGCAATTTGAATCAGATGTGACTGATTATTTCATTACCTGACTATATTTATCCGGATGGTTCTCGACCCACATCCTGGGCATGTGGATATTAGAAAGACTGAAGGACACCTGTAACCCTTCAGATCCAAGAGTCTGTCCCGGTAATGTGCTGACCACTGCCTTACAGTCGGTCATCTGAACGGGACAAACACTGATACTGATAAGAATACTGTTCATAACCAAATTTGTTTTATTTCCTTTGGAGAACACAACAAGTATTTAGTAAGACAATCCACAAAAATAAGTAAAATAACCTTGGTTTTGATGCGGTGTGAAGAACTTAAGTTGATGATCTCGTAAGGCATTTCGATGGACATAGACAGAGAAAACTCCCTGAAGAGAAAGGGAACAAAAGAAAGAGACTGTGATATTATAAAGAAAACTTGGTTTGCTAAATTAAATAATTGTATTTAATATTGTAATTGTATTTAGATTTTTAGTGAATCTTTAGTGAATATCCCTGTGAACTTCCCAGCGTTTGAGACTCTCACCCCTCTGACTGAAGCTCCGTCACACCAATCTTTTCAACAGTTGCCTGAAAGACAACAAAACTCTGTCAAAACACTGGAACTAACAGCAGCCCATCTAGTATTTTCAATACAGCGACTAAAAACCAGTCGTGTCGTACCTGAGTTGTCGTATTAAGGGCGGCACTCTGTTGCCATGGTGCTACGCTGCCAGCCAATGAGAAGACTATAGAGCCTGATCTCACCACCAACTCAGTGATGAACGTCACCTTGATCAAAACTGTGGCTCCAGGAGGAAGGTTCCCCACGCTGATAGTGAATACATCCTGCCTCACATAAAGACATGACCTTAAAGAAGTCTTCTAATATATTATCACTCATGCATCAGAGAAAGAAACAGTAGTAAGTAACTCACAGGTGCATCCTGGTCCATCAGGTAGGCTCCATGACCCTTCTCTATGGCTTGCTTATACTCCTTACGAGCCTGCTCTTTTTCCTTTACCTACAGGACAAAGAAAGACATAGAAAATGGATGAGAAAGCAGTTTTGAAGAAGAGCAAAAGCTGCATTCGACAGATTCTGAATGACTTTGCACCTTTCCAATAACGTGTTTTCCATTGATAAAGGCTTCAAATCCACACACTGCTGCCGTCTCCTCCAGGGGAAAGACGTACTTTGCTTCAATGGGAACAGGACTCTTGTTTGTGTAGGTCTGAAAAATTATCACCTGATGGCAGAGCAGAAAAAGTAGTTTACAGAGTTCTGGATACTTTGGCTTTGTGGCTGTTGGATTATGGGTTCTTTTCATTTGATTCTTGTCTGTTTTTTTAGCTTGTTAATTCTGCTGGCTTTTATTTAGAATTTTTAATGGTCTTTATTTCTTGGTCTTTATTAAGTTATTAGAAATCAAAATCTCTCTCTCTCTCTCTCTCTCTCTCTCTCTCTCTCTCTCTCTCTCTCTCTCTCTCTCTCTCTCTCTCTCTCTCTCTCTCTCTCTCTCTCTCTCTCTCTCTCTCTCTCTCTATATATATATATATATATATATATAATATATATATATATATATAAAATACTTCTATTTTCGTCATAGTCATTAAGCTTTTCTCAATCTCTCAATCTAAATTCCACATTAAATCTTTGACCAAGTTCGATTGTTTCTTCATTCAGAATATTTTATAATATTTAATAAACATTGTTTTAGCATGTGAGAGAAAACAGTGACTCTCCAACCACCCTGCTTCTCTCACATACTTGCAGCCCACCGCTGTAGTATCACACCTGACACAGCAGGTCCATCAGCTTGCACCTCACATTGACGGCCTGAAGAGGAATTTTCTGACCATTGCTGTCCAGCAAACCTGCAGTCATCTCTTCCAGAGGGTTTTTAGTAGACTCCAAACCCTCACTGTCATCACTGGACACTAAAGAAACACATCAAACAAAACCAATGATCAATTTCACAAATCCAAATCAGAGTATCCAGCTTTACAGAGCATCAGATGTCCCTAAGGAATGATTTTTCCCTTCACCATGTCAAAGTTCACCGTTATTATAAAGGGCTGTTCTGCGGGACTCAAACTTGGGTCACCCAAGCGCTGTTGCACTCTATGTTGTATTGTTGTCCAGAAGGATATGGGCTTCTCTATGTACATTGATTTGAGAGCCCTGGTTATCATCTACAACAGATTCCTCCATATATAAAGCTTTTTCTACATGTCCTGTTCACTGGACGTTACTCACAGACGTCAGATGTGTCAGTGAGCTGTGTGAGCTCCACAACTGTGTTGACATGAGGCTGGAACTCCTTTAACTCGTCTCCCTCCAGAGTGTACTGAACCACATACTTCAGTCTGATCTGCTCTGTGTTATAGACAACAAACTCATCATCCTGTCAAATAGAAACCAGCACACACAAACACAAGAATCACATTAGATCCCCAAAACATGAGCAGAATAATTGAGTACAGAGAACATGTCTAGCACCTCAAATTCAGAGAGCCTGTTGGGCGTGCGGTGGACTCCATGTACACTGTGGTAGCCGTCAGGGGCACAGGTCAAAGTGGTGTCTTTCTTCAGCAGGTCTTTGCACCGGCCCAACGCCACTTCACACACCAACAACAATCGAGAGCCGTCAGTCACACTGGGCTTGGAGTATTTCACACTAGTGCTTTAACACAGAGCAGAAACTTACTGACTGGCTCATGTCTTCATTTGTCATTAAAGGATGTCTGAGAAATGCAAAAGACCACTGACTTTAAAGAGTCACTGAAGTAGATTCCTCCTCCAAGATTCCCGATATCCGTCCTCTCAATTCCATGCTGTTCGACTCCAACTCTGGGCAGCAGTAGACCTCTACATAGAATATTCCATTAAAATATATATATATACACACACATTTAATTACATGATAAAACGAATAAGCAATCAAATGAATGACAATGAATTGCATAAACACTTGCTGAGAAAATCCCCAAAATGAACTAAATCCATTACTTAATTATTGCAGAAAAGCAATTCATTGAATAGACATTACTAAAAGTGATTTCTGTTAATTATTAGTCAGATATTAGAGGAAAAAAAATAATTCAGGGTTGGTCTACATTGTGTTTTTAGTATTGCTCATTTCCTCTGTTTTTACATTTAGATTAATTTGCCATTATGTATTAATAATTTAATAAAGTGGTTAAATATATAATCTTTTTACATTAAATGCAAATCTCAACAACAACATCCATTTTTATACATTATCATGTTGGGATTTCTAAATTCACTTACTATCAGCCATAACGAGAGACATGGTTCAACCACACCTACCGTATCTGTCTTCACTTATATATGTTCTGTATATGTTCTGTCATAAATATAGGTTTTGTTACAATGTGTAAATATATTTTTTAATGAATATGTTCTTACCGTGACAGTATTCCAACAAAACTACTGGGACTAGTGGAGTGAAGGAGAGGCTTAATGTTGCCTATATCCTCCCAAAACATTTGAAGCTCCACCCCTCTGCTTACGCGCAGAATCTGCTGAATCTGAACAGGCCTATAGTGGATACAAGATTAACACCATCATAATATATTCATGTTTGAACTTCAGATCACAATCAGCACAATCGAGTTTACCTTTCATGAAGCAGTTGAGAGACAACATGAAACTCAGGGTTTTGTGGTGGAACAACCTCAATGCTGCACCTCAGAGCTCGATACTTTCCCAGAGACGAGGGCGAGGGGCTTCCCAGAGTGGCTTCACTCACATTCAAAATGTCTCTTATTAGCTGAGGACAACAGAAGAGTTTAAAGTACCAGTCTGCACTGTGGAGTTAAAATCCAAATCAAGGATCTACTAAAATCCCCAAATATGAAGGAATCTATTTAACTGTATACTATAATTGCATACATGTTACCTGACAAAGATCTAGTTTCTGAGACACAAGCTTGTGTTTGGAAGGAGGATCGATCATTCTGAGGGGTAGAAGCGTGTTGACCTCCTCAAGCAGGGCCTTGACTTCATCCTCTTTCTGAGTCTTTTGTGCCTGCAGTAACAATCCCTCCACCCTGCTCACCTGCAACAGTATAGAGACATTAGACACACAACATTCATGCGAGCTTCATGATTGGATGTGTGTGTGTGATTATCTAAGGCTCATTCTCACATCATTAAGGCTGATTCTGGAGACAGGGACTGTCAGGATGTTACTAAGGGATCCGAGAGCTTCGGTCCAAACCAGCTCCACAAAGACGCCAACTTCCTGGGATAATGAGCTACAGTTCAGCTTCTCCTCCAAAAGAAGCTGCAAATCAAAAGATGAACTGATTTTAAACTATTGGACATGTTATATATGCATATACTGTGCATTATCAACTATTAGCAACTGAATAAAAAAGATCTTCATAGAGATGTTTCTGTTTAACCTGCTGCAGGCTGTGAGACGCCAATCGTTCAACCTCAGGAGGAAGGGTGTGAGACCTTGTGAATCCCTGTGTCTCCATCTCCTTCATCAGCAGCAGATACGCTTCCACAGCATCCTCAGATGTCACGCAGTGCACAAGCTTGTCCTGCACCACTGCGCTCTACAGTGAGAGAGTGTCAAGACTGTCAAGTGTTCAATACCTCTCTCACAATATATGAGTCCTATGATAACAACATCAACAGTTTAAACGGTGTTTGAGGTGACCAAACCTCAGCTTCATGCAAGATTGAAGACAACACACGATACTGCTGGCCTTTTCGTCCTCTGCCACTCTGCAGCTCCAACACAGACAAAGTCTTGGGTTTGACCTGCAACAGACATAAAAAAACACTTTCAAACTCAGGTAGTGATGGAGGCTACAATAATCACTCCAGGAATGTGTTAAACTGGTCAGTGGTCATCATACATTATATTACTATTTTCTTTTCCACTTATTATGTTGTGTATGTTATAATGATGTGACACACTCACTCACCATCTCAAAAACAGAATACTTGGCCACTTGAAAATGAGAAGGAAATTCAGGCAGCTCATGGTCGCCGCCTCTGTAAACTCTGCATTGGGTAAATGCAAAGATGAAAGGGTTAACTAGCATATCTAAATAAATTTATGCAAATTGTAGAACAATAAAGACACTTTTTAATAACACTCAAGGACTGATGATGACAAAAAACAAGAGCATACCTGAACCTGCTAAGACTGTGTCCGCCCTTCTCAAGAGCAGCTATCTCAGTCTGACCTTTGAACTCCTCTTTTTCTTGTATGTGGGTTGACACTTTTCCCTCTTTATGGTGAAAAACAACAGTATGTCAACAGCTCCAAAAAAACACATGGTTTAATCGTATTTAATACTCATCACCTAAATATATCAAATATATTTCTCAACAAAAATGTACTGCAACAGAAGAATACAAAAACAGAACAAAACACCCTCACAGTAAGCAAACACAACTAATCTGTCTGTGACACTCCCATCCATTCTGTCCCTCCACCTTTGATTACACATCATGTGACTTGACACACAAACATCTGATATCTATTCCAACCAAAGAATGAAAATGTGAGAATTCAATAAATTAATGAAACTTCAACCTGGACAAGAGATGAATTCAGAGGTGGGGTAAGCCAGCTGTGGGGCCAAATCATGCTCTGTCAAAGGCAGGAGATGCCCTTCGTCCAGACAGCTCCACACATACTGCATCCCAACCACTGGGATCCGGAGCTTCTGTATGCTGCTCTGCCGGTTACTGCTCAGCTCATTCACACTGCTAGTGACTACAAAAGAGCACTAGAGAAGACAAAAGCAGGTCAGAAGACACACTGCAGCTCTTTACAACGAACATTGCGCACTTCATCATCATTTTAATCTCTTGAGGCACTATAAGCATTATAAAGCATAAAGGGCCCCATGTTATTTGTGTGATACGCACCTCTTTGTTGATGACATAAGATATGTTTCCTCCATTATCCAGAAGAGCCAATCTCAGCTTATTCTTCTCTTTATAAGGGACATTCTTCACATCTAACACTACAGTACAGTTTTCAAACACTGCCATGATTCCACTGGGTCTGAACATGCCAAAAAGCGACAGAAAAAAAATCCTGCAGTTAAGTTAAATCAATCACATATAAAACACAATAAAAATAGCGTGTCCTTCTAACTGCGTATCAACACAAACATGTTCGACCTGGACTATTTATTTAACAAATCAATTCTCGTATTCACATGGAAGTTATGACATTTCCCTTGATATAAAGTTAAACAGTCGGCAATAATCCATCCTGCTGCATCTAGTGCCAGCAGATGGAAGAACATCTTACCGTGAAGTCAGAGTGGAGTTAAATTACGTATGGATTTTTGAGAAAATACCATAAGAGAAAGAGTAAATAATCTCCCGTGTAGGGTTCATTAGAAAAGTGCTTCAGCTTCCTGACTCATATTCCTGTAAAGACACACCTCCCTGCCATAAAAACATTTTTTTTTTTTTTTTTTTTGTGAGAAAACATTAAAGGGAAATAGCCTACAGAGACATTTGAATCCGTGAAACAAAAAGATCACAATTCTGCATCTTATATCACAAATCAATCATGTTTCTAATACACTAAAGTATCTTTTTCAACAGTTTTGATGTCTTTAGAGCTTGATTGTTTTGTATTGAAGTTAGAGAGAAAACATCTTCAGATCAGTGGAAAATAGCCTAACATTTGATACTGTCGATATACATTTTGCTTTATGTACATGATATTTTCCAAATTGAATGAGAAGTTTAATTATATTATTAATTTCCAATAAATCAGAGTTACAATCCATAAACAAGACCATTACCTCAGTTATTGTGACAAATTTATAAAATAACTCTCAAAAGAAACTTGGGACCAAAATAAATTAGTAAAATTACAACTAAAAAATAAGTGTTCTAGCTGTCGTTTCATTTTCGTCTTTACAGAAACTGCATAATGGTGAAAACCCTTCTTTAAATGTAGGCTACCTTATAAAGTCATTACAAGGATAGTATCTTTTCATTATTTTAAAGTGAGTATCTTCAACTTTATTAGGGATTACATATCAGACCACAAATTCTTAAAAACAAGAAAGTGGTAATGCTTCCACTTGCCTTAGGAGAACTTTTTTCTTTGGTTAAAATTCTTCTGATTATACACTGAGCAGATTATATACACTGCTCAAAAAAATAAAGGGAACACTAAAATAACGGATCATAGATCTGAATGAATGAAAGAATTACATACTTTTTTCTTGTTTTTAATTTTTAAATGTTGTCATATATATATATATATATATATGACAATACATCTGAATGTATTGCCGAATGCTGAAATGGTTCGACACACGTTTTTTTCAACTTATGTACTTAGAAATGTAACAGCTGTCATAGTCCTGGCCATGCTTATCTTTTTCAAATATGTGTTCACGTGCACTTGCACAACTCGCGAGATAACTCTCCTGCACTGCTGGCTCTATCTATGTCTGCCAATAGGCATACTGTTCTTCATTATGATCTTTATCAACGCTCAGCTCCTGAAGATGTGCAGATAGCAGAGATGTTGTAAGATTGAGTGCTACGTTATCTTAAAGCTCTTTCAGACTGCACGATTTTCAAAGTAGTCAGGTCGCTCTTTTCACACTGCATGACTATCTTGGCCAGCATTCAGTCGCTGCTGTGTTCACACTGGACGATGGATCGGCGACAGAAGGTTTCACACTGCATGACTTTAGAAAAATCGCCGACAGACACTGTCTAGCACGCTGCACGCAAACTACATTTCACAACAAACACGCGTGAGATATGAAAAGGAAACAACCCGCGACACCACACGTGCAAGACCGGAGTTCTCACGTGAGACTTTTTTTTTCGACCCGGTTGTGGTACAGCTGGTGAAACAGACACGAGTGCTCCTGCCAAATTTCTACTAATTTTTCTTCCATTTATTGTGTCCAAATAGACAGAGAAGAAGCTTTTTTTTGTTGAAACAATGCCATATCATGTTGATATGTGATCTATAACTCCTCCCCGAACTCCCTGCTGCTCTGTATCTTGCTCTCTCACTGGCAGTCAAAACACTTTTCACACAGCAGGATTTTGAATCGCCGACAGGTCCAGATATTTAGCATGCCAAATATCTCACGGGCGTCGGCGACTCGTCGGTGATTCTCTCAGTTCGCGTCTTTGTTCATTCACACTGCGTGATTGTCACTCGCGTGAACGAGCGCCGATTTGCCTGTGATTTCGGGCATTTGTCGGCGATTTCTCAAAACCTGTCGGCGAGCCAAAATCGTGGCTAAAATCATGCAGTCTGAACTCGGCATTACGAGAGGTTCTCTCGTATTGCGTAAGCTAGCTTACGGTACGGGAAAGATTCATCTTCATCTTTTCTGAGAAGTTGAAGCCAAAAAATATCCTTTAATTTTGTATCCATTGTAAACGCAGTTCACTGCAGCAGACCATGAGCGGGCTAGCTAGCAGCTCATAGGTCCGGTCAGGGAGAACTGCTACAGCCTATGAGGAAACTCGGTTGAACTCGTGGCCAATGAGAAGCAGACACACTCTCATTGCGTCAAAGCCCGCTAAACGGCGTGGCCCGAGTCTATAAATAGGCGAGTTTCCCGTTGTTTTCCGATTTTCATCAATTCAGCGACACCTGCTGATCTCCGAGAGAAAGCCGCGTCGCCGTGGAGAAGGCATCTCTTTTAGCGAGCGTGGACAGAGTCTGAGGAAGCCGGCCGTCTATAGCTTTTTAATTTATTGACGCGCCAACTTGATTTAGCAAAAAAAGATAAATGGAAAAAAAAACAACGTTTTTGTTTTTGTAGACAAACGTGATAAGTTTTTTTTTTTGACTAAAGAAAATGTACCAGTTTGGTATTTTAACAACGTTTTTGAAACGTCTTATTCCAACGTAGAGATTACGTTAATTTAACACCTGAATAAATTAAACGTCTTCCAAAAGTTGTAGTTTGGTCTAGTTTTCTTTCAGTAGTAAACAAACGTGATATGTACGTTTTTTGACTAGGTAACGTTACTTAAAAAAAAAAACATACCAGTTTGGTATTTTCACAACGTTTTTAAAACGTTTTATTTTGGTTACATTATTTATCCATTTATATATATATATATATATATAAAAAAAAACATTTTAAAAACGTTTTTAAAACATTGTACTACAGCATTACCTAATTACAACCAAAATGCAACGTTGTGAAAAGTTCTAAAAACGCTTTGTGTTTGCTGGGATGTTACCTCCCGGGAAACGGTCTAAATGTTATTATAACTTTATGAACTGATATCATATAACTTTATTCTTACCCATCACACTGTGGAGAGTAATAATGAATTAACGTTAAATCCTTGAACTTCCCTGTCTCAAGTTATGTGTGGGTAAAAGCCCGGTTAAGTAGCAACTTCTTTTTAACTGCTATAAAGTTAACTGTTGTGAGTTAAATAATCACTAATTATTTCAACTTAAAAATGATCTCTGCACTGGACTAAATATATGTATATTATATGACTGTCGAGTCGCTTTCACCCCGAAATGGCGGAAGCCTATAGGGCTGCTGCTGGGCGCTGGTGTTGCAATGGAACGTTCTATTGGCTTTCACTTCTTGTCAAAATACGTTCTTTGGTAGAATAGCGCCATGTTTACACCGGAAAAGACGAACCCGCATTTCCGGTAAGGAAGTGGTTACGTGCAAGGAGCTCAATCAGTGTTTTTGAGAAAATGTTCTACAAAATCTTATGTAATTTCCTATTGGAGCAACTTTGTGAATATTGTGGACTGGAGAAAAGTTTGGTTATTGCCACATAAATACCTTATTGTAAAATCAGAGAAGTCTCTTTTAAATTAATTCATAGATTCTATCCAGTGAAAAGTTACCTAAAAAAGTTTAAATCTGACATTGACGTAAAATGTGATTTTTGTAATGAACATGATGAAACTACTTTACACTTATTTTGGGAGTGTAATTATACCAAATTGTTTTGGAAGAGCTTTTGTAGGTATATTATTGATTTTGCATACCCTCATTTTTCTTTATATTGGAAGTATGTTTAATTTGGTTTTATTAATATGAAGAAAAATTTTGAGAAAGAATCTTACTTTATAAATCTATTACTCCTCCTAGCAAAATTTCATATTCATAAGTGTAAATTCTCCAATCATAAGCCATTAATCAAAGTCTTTCTTATCTAAATTCACCAATACCTCCAAAACGCTTTCTACTTCTGAGAAGTCCAAAGCTAGGAAAATTGTCTTGCTGTGCTTTCTTTAAAATCCCCTTCTAAAATTATGTAACATTTTATTGTTTTAAAGTGCCATTGTTTGTATCTCCTATGTGATTATCCTCTTTTGCATAATTTGTACTATTGTCATTTTTTTCTTTCTTTTTTCCCCTCTGGTGTTTGCTCTGTTCTTTGTACTTCATGTGGTTGTTAATAAAAAAAAGAGAGAGAAAATGTTCTACATGCAATTTACGTTGGATGTTTATTTTGTTCTTGCAATGTTGTAGGCTATTTGTTGCAATTTTGCAATTTTGACAAACAGTCTGAGATATTGGAGTGTTGTGTGTAATAAAACAATACTCTTTGAAATCATAATTGTATTGCATTATTTTAAACACTAAATATTTTACTTAAAACATTCCTCAGACACTTATTCAGTTATTTATAATATACGTTGTTCAAAAAAGCAAAAGTAGTTTCAATGTAGCTAGCTACTTTTTGATAGTAACTTAGTGTAAGTTAGCTAACTACTTTTCCAAAAGGGTAGCTTGAGTGTAGTTTAACTACTTTAACTTATGAGTAGCTTGTCAAGCTATACGGTTTCAGTTTCAGAGTAGCTTCCCCGACACTGCACACATAGCCTATCTGCTGTCATGGGATAATAAGCTAGGGGAGGAGAATACCTTTTGACTACTGTGAACTTGTAGTTATAGCGCAGACAAGTCTGAGATGCAAGGATCTGTCAACATGGGCCATCCACATCCAGCCATTGAATCCACTTTACTGACAAATCTGCTCGCCCCGAGCAGTGCATTTGCAATTGCTTTTCTATTTCTTGTTTTTCAGTACATTTTCAAAATTGACTTTAAATGTCAATGTGATGCTTATAACAAGGTGTACTGTCTGGTATATTTGATAGTGCCATTTTGTGGACTTACAGGACTACTGACATTATCTGCTAAAACGAGTACAATATGTACACTGCGTTGTCTGCGTAAATGTAAATCCAGCTCTGGTGTATCCCAATCTGATGGACCTCGCCGCCGTTATTCCAGCTCCGTATCCCAATCTGATGGACCTCGCCGCGGTGATTCCATCTTCGTATCCGAATCTGATGGACCTCGCCGCGGTGATTCCATCTTCGTATCCCAATCTGATGGACCTCGCCGCGGTGATTCCATCTCCGGTGTATCCCAGTCTACATGTATCTGCAGCTGTTGTAAATCCTGGGCATGCCGTAGGCTTGTATACAGACAGATTTTGAGAAACGTGTTTATTTCTTCAATTTGGATCATAACGGTTTTGATTGATGGAGACGCCTTGGTTTGCTGGAACCTAACAAATGCAAACATTACGGACTGGTACGATCAAATTCCTTGTAAAGAGCCTGGTAAACTTACTGCTGAGGAGTCCAAGAGCATTAAATATTATGAGTTTATATCACAGGTAGGCCAACGTTCCCCAACTTTTTTTTTAAAAAGTAGGCTATGTTTTATGCAAGATAAATATGTAACCTAAAATAAGTATGTAAGTATGTAAAATAAGTATGTCAAATATTATTTGAAGAGTTCAGATGCAAAAGTGCCATTTGAAATTTTCTTCTAGAATGATAATTTTTATCAAGCTTGTATATTTAAGTTGAGTAATTTCACTTAAATGACAATTCATAGGTGATCTTCATTCCCATTTAAGTCAAATTAATTAACTTAAATATACAAGCTTGATAAAAATGATCATTATAGAAGAAAATTCCAAATGGCACTTAGAGGCTTTTGCATCTGAACTCTTCATTTTATTTTAGCTAGTTTTGTGATTATGTTTTATTTTAATTATACTCTAAGACCAATAAGACTATAGCTATAGACCATTTTGCAAGATGTAGCCTAAACAACACTGGCCCAGAAACACTTCCTGTTTCAGTATGTAACTGTTTTCTTTATTTCACATGTAAAGAAAACATCTTAAAGATGTTTGTTTAACTTTTTGATTCAGTTTTATATGTTACTTTGGTTGTATTTTATCCCAGCCTTTATTTAGTGTTAAAAAACTGAAACAGGAATCTTCTGGTGTTGTTTAGCCTACATCTTGCAAAATGGAATAAGAAATTAGCGATCCAAACCTTAAGGCTAGTTTTTACGCCAGGTTTTATTTAAAAAATATATATTTTCATCAGTCTTTCACAGCGTTACACAAAATGAGTTGCAAAATGAAAATTGACCTAAGCGAAATGAAAAAAAGAGGCTAAATCATTTCAACAAATTTTGTTTAATATTAACTAAATAATTGAACATGTTTCTAGCCCTGTTTTGTTAGCCAAATCATCAGAGTGGTTTTATTGTGTTCACTTGCAGATCTAAAATAATGATAGCCTACTGCAATTTTAGTTCGACGGACAGAAGCAAAAAAAGAAAAGAAAGAAAACTAATTCAAGAAAGTTCACCCACAAAAGCATTATCATTAGCATCTTCATGAAAATAGCCTACATTTGCATATTTATAATTTTAACTAAAAATAGTTGTATTGTTACTATAGATGTAGACTTAGCTAGCCCTATAGTCTTATATAATAAGCTATACAAATATTACTAAATGTAATACAGATTTAGCTGATTTGTGTTTTGTCCATAGGTAACCGGCTTGGTACTTCTCTTTGCCATACCAATAATTTGGGCGTCAATCTCTAATTGTTGTGTGCTTTGTAAAACACCCCCCAAGTCTCTATATGAAGATGTATATGAAGAGGAGACAATAATGTGTTTAGAGGAGGAAATGCGAAATACGGTAAAAACAAGTGCAAAAAAAAAAAGTGAGGACATTTTTAATAAGTACAAAAATGGGAATAATGTGAACTGGACTCATTTTTCGAACGAACTGATTGACTTAATAACTGAAGACGACCCTGCATCACTGAGCCACCCATTCTTTGCAGCCAACCTAGAACCTTCTTCAGCCAACCTACCTTCCTCAGCCAATTCAGAACCTTCTTTAGCCACTGCAGATCCTTCCTCAGCCCGACGAGATCCTCCTTCAGCCAACCTAGAACCTTCCTCAGCCAACCCAGAACCTTTTTTAGCCAACCCAGAACCTTCCTTAGCCAACCCAGATCCTTCCTCAGCCAACCCAGAACCTTCCTTAGCCAACCCAGATCCTTCCTCGGCCAACCAAGAACCTTCATCAGCCAACCCAGAACCTTCCTCAGCCACTGCAGATCCTTCCTCAGCCAACCCAGAACCTTCCTCATCCAACCCAGAACCTTCTTCGGCCACTCCAGATCCTTCTTCAGCCACCCAGAACCTTCCTCAGCCAACCTAGAACCTTCTTCAGCCACTCCAGATCCTTCCTCAGCCAACCCAGAACCTTCCTTAGCCAACCCAGATCCTTCCTCAGCCAACCAAGAACCTTCATCAGCCAACCCAGAACCTTCCTCAGCCACTGCAGATCCTTCCTCAGCCAACCCAGAACCTTCCTCATCCAACCCAGAACCTTCTTCAGCCACTCCAGATCCTTCTTCAGCCACCCCAGAACCTTCCTCAGCCAACCTAGAACCTTCTTCAGCCACTCCAGATCCTTCTTCAGCCACCCCAGAACCTTCCTCAGCCAACCTAGAACCTTCTTCAGCCACTCCAGATCCTTCTTCAGCCACCCCAGAACCTTCCTCAGCCAACCTAGAACCTTCCTCTGCCAACCCAGAACCTTCTTCAGTCACTTAGATTCTCTTGGTATATCAACCAATCATCGTAGAAACTAATAAACTAGGAACTACTTTAATTATGGAGGGTAGCAATATTGAATATTTGAAGGCCATTAAATTTACCAAGCTGCTATTAGAGCAGCAATGACCCCATGCCAAAGTTGAACATATGCTACAGCAACCATATTCATTAAACGGCCGAACATTCTCTTTTAAGAATGTTGACAGGATGATTTTTTTTCTTCTAGTGGTGGTATGCATATTCTCATTTTCTTATATATATTTTTTTCTTTCAAAACTGAGCAAGGAATAAAAATTCATCAGCAATAAAATCGGCATAAAAAGGAAGTCACAATAGTCTTCTCTTCCCTATGTGTGACACATATCTAAATAAAAGGGCATTTCAAACAAAACAAACAATGTAGCGTATATCTGGAATTGATGGATCGCTGTTGTTTGGGATAAATGCAAGCCGGGTAAAAATTCAATTCGATTTCCCCATTTAATTAATTTTTTAGAATAACTGTGAGCTACAAACACGGTTAATCGATAGCATTTACTTCTGTTGAAGCCGTTAGCCCACATTATTTTAACTTAGTTTTGAAACCAAATTAGGAACCTTTAAAATAAGTGGCACATAAATAGTGTAAATGAGAAATTATAGAAAGAATATTGAATGACAGGAGATATAACAGTGTAATCCTTTTAATTTATTCTATATAAACATGCAGCATTTGAATATAACATCATTGCTTTCATGACATTATCCTGATGATACAAAACAGGATACAATACAATTACAAAAGCAGATAAAATGAAGTTGAGACTATAGATTAATATTTACTTTCTGAAATAAAATGCACATCACACACCAAAGATGACCCTGAGATCTGCCAGAGACAGTTTAGTGAATGAGGATCCAGTTCCAGACAAGACTTTCTGAGCCAGCTCCTTCTTCTTCTCCTGTAGTGAAGAGATCTTGTCTTCCACTGTACAGTCACACACAAACCTGTAAAGAGATTGACCCACATGACAGTATTAAATCAATGTGATTGTTTGATTTTTATCACCTGCTAATGTTTTCTTGCATGATAGGAACCTGGTATTAAGAAGCGCTTTGGTCGATCGGATCGTACGTGATGCTAAATACAGGTGTAAATGGGGTCTTATTCATGAAGCAAACAACTGTTTTTTTTTCTTGGCACCATTACCCTCTTCTTGACTGTGTAACTGTCTATTATTGAATACAAATCTTCACCCATGTGAATTGTAACATTCCGGGATTGTCCCACCCTATAGATCCGGTCACATGCCTGGTCTTCTAGTGCTGGGTTCCTGTGAATAAAGGGCCAGTTTATTTACATTTTCCTGTAGTCTCTCTTAATTAATACACTTGCATACCAGTTTGCAGCATGAACCAAGCCATTTTGTTAGCATTTTCCTGTTAATTGTGTAAAATAGTCTTCAGGCTGATGGTGTGACCAGCATTCAAATAAGCGACAAGAGTCACTTACAAAAAGATCTTCTGTGTATAACTGACACTAATATTAATAAATGTTCATTGAGCATCATTAAAATCTCTTGGGGACCTGTGAAGTGACTCACCAATGCATGTCAATCAGAAACAGATGATTCCCTCCAATCAGATTGATGCCCACACCTCCAGCACACAGAGACACCAGCATCACCTGTGATATCATACAAACAAAGAACAAAATACTTAATAATATATTTATATTTAAAACTGTAGTTGAAATACCTTTTTTGATCTTTCTTTCTAATTTCTCTCAACTCTGTCAGTATGGTTAAAATCTGAAATAAATAAATAACATTAAAAAGAGCAAAGTGTCAGAGATCGCTTGCAATAAAAATAAGGTGGATCCTGCAGCTGCATTAGACACAGCAGGGTAAGGCAGAGGATGCTCACCTTAGTGCTTTCACGAGCATCCTGGAAGAGCTCAGAGGGGAATGTAGTGCCATTGAGAGAGACGGTGTCTTTAGGGTCAGAGTCTGAGGGCTCAGAGAGAGACAAAGCACACAGCTGCTCTTCTAGAGACAGAGCAACACCATCTCCCTGCAGCTCTGTCTGATCTAGAGTCTGGAAAAACACACATCAGTATGTGAACTAGAGTATTAAGTGTGTGTGAGACCAGCCCGATCTCACAGTTTTTGCGTGTATTTGGCACGCGATTTTCGCGTACATATGATACGCACTTTTTTGCGTATAATACGCACGAACTCCCCACCCCCCTCCCCCCTAAACCTAACCCAGGGTTTTTTAGTGCGTACCATATACACGAAAAAAACACTTTTGGCGTATAAATGCCACGAGAAATGACACTCGTGGTATAGATACGCATCTTCATGAGACTGTGTTGGTGAGACAGTGAGGGGACATCACCTTCTTGACCAGAGACAGGTGGCAGCAGCACTGCCTGAGACGCAGCAGCAGTGACAAGATATGGATGGTGCTGGAGGCCTGAGGCTGCTGAGAGGAAGACAGCGAGTCCTTCTGAGACATCCCAAACTCCCGTGCAACTGAGACAAAGGCACAATCATTACAGGGAAACTAAAATAATGCCAATAAATCATTCTACATAAAACAGCTTCTATTGTCCATCACGTGACAAAAATGAAAAGAGAATATATATTAGACAAAGTGCCTATGTTTTTTCCCCCAATGTATTAACTGTGTGCATACACACCTCTTCATGTGTACAACCAACAAAGTGTACAAGCCATTAACAATTTAGCGAGTCAATGGTTAAACCTTATCGTATTTAAACTCCCAATTTTGGAATATGCAACTGAAGCTTAAGTCTGAAAACATAAGACTGATCACACTCAGTCCTTAGCGAAGAACATGTTATGATAGAGACTGCTTGCCTTTCTCAAAAGGATTACTATTGTCTGCCTTTTTAGTGTTTCCTTCTTCATGTCTTTTAAGATAGTTTTGAAGTGTGGACCTGAGGAGGAAGAAGACAAGCTGATGTCCATATGAGAAACCATGCACGCAAAACGTCAGGAAATGTACTGAATATGCATAAAAACTGGAGTTCAGTGACATGGTATACCTGGATTGTGCAAACACAACATCATATACAGCCTGCTCATCTTCAGACAGCTTCAGTCTATGAACCTTGCAGGTCCGATTGGGCAGAGACACCTGAAACAAAAGCACAAATGTTGCATGATTCCTTTAGGTAAAAAATAAATCTGCATAATCTTGTTTGTCATTTGTGATAACAGATCACTTAAGATTACACTAACAAAGAACAATTTCTAGTTGATTAATAGTCTGAGCATAACTAAATAAAATGTATGCTCTCTATAGAAATTTCCAAGACATTATAGGATTTTATTAATTTTCAGATAAGGAAACCACAATTTAAACTATTCCTAATAAATCTTTTCAAAGCATGAGGTTTATATTAATTTCAAGACTATGAAAACTACACATTGTGTGTGTGTGTGTGTGTGTGTACCAGTGGTTTTCCAGAAGAGTCCAGCTGGTCTTTGGTCCTGCGTAGCAGCAGTGCTCTGGTGAGGATGTTCAGTCTCTCTCCTCCTCTCTTTGAGCCATTATCTACTTGAGACTTCCACAGCTTAAACTCATCAAAAGGAGAACATCTCAGAAACCTGCACAGCATGTGCAAAAACAACAGCAGTTAAAGTAGTGTGCCACATAATACATCACTATGGAGGACTCTGCTGCAGAATTGTGGAACAACAGATACTCAGCTCTAGTTATTCACTTTCAATTTCAGATTATTTAAAAAATTGTGTTACTGAATAATATCCAGTTCTCATAAGCGGAATTTTTATTTAAAAAAAATATGTTGATTATTTCCACTAATTTATTTAACAAGTATATATATATATATATATATATATATATATATATATATATATATATATATGAAGAGTTCAGATGCAAAAGCCTCTAAGTGCCATTTGAAATTTTCTTAGAATGATAATTTTTATCAAGCTTGTATATTAAAGTTCAGTGATTTCACTTAAATGGCAATGATAATTACCTATTAATTGTTATTTAAGTGAAATTAATGAACTTAAATATACAAGCTTGATAAAAATCGTCATTAAAGAAGAAAATTTCAAATGGCATTTAGAGGCTTTTGCATCTGAACTCTTCATATATATATATATATATATATATATATATATATATATATATATATATATACTGTATATATGCTGCCTCTAGACATGATTTTTATTTATTTTACTTTTATATATATATATATATATATATATATATATATATATATATACAATTTATCACCCTTTGAAACCATGAGATAATTGTGTTTTTAATTAACTCTTGATGTGTTCGCCTGTTCGGATAAGGTTAAGAGCTGGATTGCTCATAGTCTGGTAATGACAGACAGAGATTATGACTATGCCCAAAAACATTCACTAATTCCATTTACTACATAGTCAATGTAAAATCTTCATATGAGGAAATAGTAAAAATGTGTCTATTCAGACACAGCTGTAAACACTATTGAGCATGGTGTGTGGCCTTATATGTTGTGTCCTGAACTATGGAAAAAAATCTACTTAAAATCATATATGACTGGTCAGATTAAGATCCTCAGCTCGAAAAATAGAGTATGACACCAGCAAATACAAGATCAGATGTTAGACATCAGAGGCATTGCATGAATTGATGAAATGTATAGCTTATATCTTGTATCTTGTATATAGAGATATATCTCTATATGAAGAGTTCAGATGCAAAAGCCTCTAAATGCCATTTGAAATTTTCTTCTAAAATGACCATTTTTATCAAGCTTGTATATTTAAGTTCAGTAATTTCACTTAAATGACAATTAATAGGTAATCTTCATTGCCATTTAAGTGAAATTACTGAACTTAAATATACAAGCTTGATAAAAAATATAATTTTAGAAGAAAATTTCAAATGGCACTTAGAGGCTTTTGCATCTGAACTCTTCATATAAAACTGTCTCCCCTCAAATCCCTGTTCCAAATCCCTCATATCTGTTCACCATGCCCTCTGAAACTATATTAGACTATATACAAAATAAATTATTACCTTTCTAAAATTAATGAAAATGATCATGCGATTAAGGATTTCACTGCTGCTAACATCCTGAAATGATGCTTGTGAAAATTGTGTATTGTAAACTTGATTTAAAACTTAAATTTAGTTTTTTTTTACACTAAATGTTTCTACCAAATGGTAGAGAGGCATGTTAAATGGTTAAATAGATTGTGACCTTAACCTTTGCCATTTTTTGCCAAAAGTAATGGTGTATTACTGGTTTTCACATTTATTTGCATAATAACACATTTTAATTGTGGTGTTTTTTATGTTTAATACTGAGACACAAGTAAACTTATACAATAGTACATTCTATATTGCAAAGAAGTGCTATACATTTAGAGGTTTAATAGAACTCTAAATAAAATACAGAGGTACTGTACGAGTAGGTTATTGTGTGAGCTGAGAGAAAACACAACCATTTGTAAATTTGGAGTCAGTAAGATTTTCTTTTGAATGAAATTATACTTTTATTAAGCATGGATGCATTGATCAACAACAAAACTTGTAAATACGTTTGTGATGTTACAGAAGATTTCTGTTTCAAATAAACGCTGTTCTATTGAATTTTCTATTCATCAAATAATCCAGAAAAAAATCTATCACAGTTTCCACAAAACAAAACTGTTTTCAACATTGATAATAATAAGTGTTTCTTGAGCAGCAAATCAGTATGATTTCTGAAGGATCATGTGACACTGAATACTGGAGCAATGATGCTGAAAATTACATAAAATATATTGAAGAAAACTGCTATTTAAATTCAAATTTTTACTCTATTTTTTTTATCAAATAAGTCTAGTCTTCGTGAGCATAAAAGAGACTTCTTTCAAAATCTTCTTACCGACTCCAAATTGTGCTGTTAGCCTCAGAATGTTTCGATTTTTTTATAGGGTGAATGAAAATGTGTTTGCTACGCAGTTATTTCAGATCCAAATGCACAAAAACCAAAATTTTCTTCTTTTTTTTTTTTTTTTTTTACAAAACCTTTTTTACTGTATTGAAGACCACTGAAATAGATCAATAAGTTTTTTGCTTAGCCTTAGTAAATTGACTGGGACTCCAGTAGTTAATAAGGCCATGTGTATGAGGTTGCTGTCTTCCAGAGCTGCATGAGCTGTGAACTATATCACCATTGTGCCCTTGACTCCAAGTTGCTCCAAAGGAAATGATTAGTAATTTTGCTCTGTGGTTTGTTTGTGTGTTAACATGAATATTGGTTCAAATTTGCAAATCTAACTTTAATAAATTCTCAGCACACAATACTAAACATGGGTTAGTGTTATGCTAAAATTGGAAATATTTTTTCGGCTATTTCAAAATGCTGTAAATCAAATCAGCAATTGTCCCTGGGAGAATGTCATTGAGGTGCACTACTTCAAAGGAACATTCTTCTGTTCTGCATAATGAAGATTCTGTAATCTCAGATAAGTCATGACTCAGAGTACATCATGCTGCTCTTTTGTGTTGCATTGTGTTCTTTTTCCGAGAAATGTGTCATCCATTACTTTTGTGCATCTTGACATTAATGGCAAAGTGAAAATGTCAAATCTCTCAGTTTCTCCACATGATCTGAAATGTTATGATGTCAAGCAGAAAACTGGCCAGAAAAAAATGTGA